ACAAAGCATGTCAAAGTGTTTTTCAGGGATCCTGGCACGTGGTGAGGGTTGGATGCCAAGAGCTATTGTCATTGTGGTGTGCAGACTGGGAAAGATGGCACTGGAGCAGAACAGTGGTCTCCAACCAGGGGTTAATGAATAAAGCAATAAAACTGAATGTAGTTCATCTCTCCAAGTATGCTGCCCAAATTCTGGTCTTCCAAAGTGAGCCAGGAACATCCGTCACAATTTTAACACTTTTAGAAAGCTGACCTGCAGATACTTGTCTCCCTAGGCAAAGGCTGATGTACAGTATCAACCGTAACCCCCACTTGTCGAGTGCTTGGAGCCAGGCACCGACCGTTCTAAGGGCTTTACATGAATTATCCACAGGAATCTTAAAAAAGAACCCTGTGAGGCACATTATTATTAGCCCCATTTGACAGATGAGGAAAGAGGCACAGAGAGGTTAAGTGACTTGATGTAAGGTCACAGAGATGGTATTAAATCCAACAGAGCTAATATTCTATTTAAAAATATATATATTTTATTGGGGAATCGGGGAAGGGGAACAGCCAAGTCGTTGTCCATCAACCTTAGTTGTGGAGGGCGCAGCTAGCTCAGCTTCAAGTCCAGTCGCCATAGGGCCTCCCATTGGCAGCTCACAGCCTCTCAGCTCAAGGTGCGGTGCTCAATCTTAGTTGCAGACGGGCAGAGCCCACCATGCCATGCGGGAGTCAAACCCGGAAGCCTTGTTGCTAAGAGCGCATGCTCTAACCACTGAGCCATCCAGCCGGCTGTTGGCAGCTCATGGCAGCTCAGCTTAAGGTGCGGTATTTAATCTTAGTTGTGGATGGATGTAGCCCACCATCCCATGTGGGAGTCGAATTGCAGAACTAATATTCTTAACCACTCTGCATATTACCTCTGTATGAAGGTCCTTTCCATTCTTCTGTGGAGCAGGGAAACATTGGAGTCCACCAATAGAGGAATGCTATACATATTATGTCCATTCCTACAATGGAACGCTATACAATAAGAAAAAGCAGGAAGCAGTTGTGTATGTTCTGGCCTGAAATGAAGGCCATAGTAGGTTGTTGGATAGAAAAAGTTTCAGAAGGGGCTGGCTGAGTGGCTTATTGGTTAAGAGTTGGCTTGGGAGTGAGAGCTCTGAGCAGCAGGGCCCTGGTTGGGATCCCACATGGGCCAGTGACACTGCGCACTCTACAGCTAAGATGGTGAACAACAGCTCGACCTGGAGCTGGACTGCCATGAGTCGCCGGCAACTGCATAGGCTACAATGGGGCTGCAGTGGGCTGCCGTAAGCTACCGTGAGTGGCCAGCAGCTGGGCGTGAGCTGCCATGAGCCGCCGTGCGGGGCCATCCAAAGGCCGGCGAGTGACTGACTCACCCGGGAAGAGTGCAATGATAATACCAACATGGGCCAGTGAAGCGATGTCTCCACAACTAGACTAAAGAACAAAAGGACAGCAACTTGTCTGTTCCCTTTCCCCGATTCCCCAATGCTGTTCCCCTCCCCCAATTCCCCAATAAAATCTTTAAAAAAAGGAAAAGAAAATAGAAAGTTGCAGAACAGTATATATCATATATATACTCATCCATTTTTTGTATAAAAACAAAATTAAAAAGTCCATTTACCCATTTGTTGTTTCATAGATAAATGTCTGGAAGAGTAAACACCAAACAATTCACATTGACCACTGGGAAATTGTGATAGAGAGGAGCTTCCATTTTTTTCTCTTTCTATTCTCTGTTGTTTGAAGTATTTACCACGAATATGTATCATTTTGTAATTAACAGAAAGAAGAAAGTAAGTGCACAGCGAGCCAGGAACCTGGGGACCTCTGTCGACCCCTCCAGCTCTTGCCCCTGCTCCAGATGCCACTGTTTTTAGAGGCCCCCCAGTGTCTCCCACTCACCCCTGAAGGCCCCTCAACCCTACTTCCCTTCCATGAGCACTTCCCAAGCCTCCTCTGGTCACCGAGGACTTGCCTTGGCTTAGGTCGCTCATCTGGGTCCAGACATCTGCACAGGTTCCCAGTTAGGAAGCCAAGGTCCTACCCCTGTGCTACTCTGGGGGTATGCGACATGGTGACATCACAGTTAGGCCAGTGACATCACAGTGGACCTGGAAGGTGACAGGACAAAGGACCTGGCAGGGCCCAGGAGATGGGAGCCAGGAAGGGGTTGGCAGTTAGAGGCTGCTTCAGATGGGAACTTGAGGGACTGTCCTCAGCTCACCACCTAGGCATTGTTAGCCAGACCCTTCAGGGATGGGAAACCTGGACATCTCCAAGGCCATTTCTCTTTCTGTTCCTACTCAAGAGGTTGTACAGACTTTTCTGAGAGTGAGGAGCAGAGCGTGATGCCAGGAGGGGGTGGAATTAGCATATGGAAGCCAAAGGTGTGTGTGAATCCTCCTCAGAGATGTGGGGGGGTTTCTGTGGGTACCCAATGTGACCCTTGACCCCTGTGATTCCAGCAAGTCTATTGGAGAGGCAGGCTTGTGGCCTGGGAGGCTAGGAGGGCTCTAGCTTTTGGGGAGTGGAGGTTTGGGGGACCAAGACTGCAGGGGTACCGTGGAAGAAGCTCCTCCACTAATTTAAAGGAAATGAGAGGGCAACTGGGAAAGAAGAGGGAAGGCTGGTGGGTCACTGGGAACAGCACATCGAAGAGAAAGCGTGAGGGGCAGAAACAAAGCAGTAGGAGTGGCAGGGAGGTTGGTCTGACATTGAGAAGGATCAGTTGAACCTGAGGATTAGCACTCTTGGCTGCTTGCTGTGTGATTCTGGGTGAGTTGCTTATGCTCTCTGAGCTTCTATTCCTTCAGCATGAGGATAATAAAAGTGACTACACAGGCTTACTGTGAAGATTAAATGAGATAAGGCTTACAAAGTCCCTAGCACAGTGCCCGGTGCATAGTAAACTGTTTGCAAAGGTAGCTATCTACTCCTGTCCTTGGGATATTCCAGGCTGAGCCCTGTTACTTTACCTTCTATTCTGGACATGTATAATGCAGGATTCTTGGTTGTGAGCTATAAAAACGATTACAGGAGGATTTAAGGAGAAAAGGAATTCATTTAAAAGATGTTGGAAAAGCTCACAGAAGGTCTGGAAAGGTCGCAGAGCCAAGCTTGGAAAATGGGTAGGATCAAGGGAGCCCCAGGACCACACACCCCAGGAGCAGCCCAGAGAAGACACTATAACCCCCTCTGAATCCCTTTCTTTCCTCTACTGCCCCTGAAGCCGATGCGACACCATTTACGGAGTAGAGTCTCCACTGACCTACCACCTCAGGGCTACTGACCTCTGCACAGTCTGGAGGGGGACATCTGGTTTACCCGGTCTATGTTGTGCGCCTGCGTCATGTGCTGGGGCAGAGAGGTCGGAATTAAGCATGTGGCCATTTTGGGTTTTATAGTGGGAGGTGCTTTCTACCTTTCTTCAGACTTCTGTAGGGGAAAAGTTCCAAATGCTGGGCATCTAAAAAAAAAACCTGACAAATGTCTACACAAGAAACAAAAATGAGGGCCGGACGAGTGGCGCGATGGTTAAGAACTGGCTTGGGACGCCAGAGGGCCCCGGTTCGGATCCCACATATGAGGGCCAGTGACACTGCCCTCCACAGCTAAGATGCTGAATAACAGCTCGACCTGGAGCTGGGCTGCCATGAGTCACTGGTGACCGCGTAGGCTGCAGCCCCTGTGGCAGTGGGTTGCCATGGGCTACTGTAGGTAGCCAGCAGCTAGCGTGAGCGGGCAGCAGCCGCAGTGAGCAGCCGTCCAGAAGCCGGCGACTAATCTGCCTCGCCCGGGAAGAGCTCAATGATGGTGCCAACTTGGGCCAGTGAAGCAACGTCCTCCACAACTAGACTGAAGAACAAAACGACAGCAACTTGTCTGTTCCCCTTCCCCGATTCCCCAGCACTGTTCCCATCCCCCCAATTCCCCAATAAAAATCTTAAAAAAAAAAAAAGAAACAAACAAAAATGAGTAGACAGTGGGTCCTGTACTTGAGATACTCATAATCACATAGGGATCCGTTATATGGGCAAATAATTATGATAAGAAGTGATGGAGGCCACAATGGAGGTGAGTACCAGCCAGGGACTAAGCTGGCAGAGAATCACCTATAATATGCCCCTGACCCACAGGAGAGAGTCCAAGATGTGTCTGTGTGTTCCAGGCCACTGGGGTGGCATGGCTGGGATGGATTTTGATGGCTGTGTCACACTGGGTCAGACACTGTGCGATGCAGATACAACCGACTGGGAAGAATTTGTGTGAGGCCCCAAGCCGGGGAGTGGGGGGGTGGGGTGGAATGCACCTCTTCTGCTCACATGAGTAATGACATTGCTCAGCCTAAAAAACTGCTTTCTGGCCAATAGGGCCTCCCTGTTGCTATCTAGTCATATCTTAAAAGCACTTTGCTGTGTCCCTGAATTATCTCTTGCTCTGTTAGGGCTTTAGCACTCTAGATTAGAGAAAGGAATCTCAGGATAGGAAGATCAGAGATGGGACAGGAGGAGGAAGACGTGTTTGCTGTGAGATCAGATTCCTGCTGTCTTCTCTCACCCCAGATCCTTCTATGTTACGCCTGCTCTTGTCTCTGCCTGTTCCTGTTCCTGCCATCACCATTACTGTCTTCCCTGTCATCATCACGTCCACCTCTGTCTCAGCTGGGACCCCATCCCCAGAAGGACTCCAGCCTTTGAGCCCTGTCTGTCACACTCCTGCTCAGCCATCTGAGTTATCTGAGAAGCAGAGATAGCAACCCCTCACCCCACCTCACCTCCACATACTGAAATTCCAATGGCCCAGTTTATGGTGGTCCAAAAATCAGCACGTTTTCCTATAGAGTTGCCACAAGTAGATAAAGGCTGGTGAGTGGCTCCCCCTTGTCAGGTCTCATAGGGCCCCCGGTCTGCCTGCCCACTTCTTCCTATTTGTGGTAACTTCAAATGTAGCACCTTCCTGTCATCTCTCACACCCACTGGGGACTCAGCCAGTGGGGACAGGCAGTGTTGCCCTCCTGCCGACCCCCTTCCTTTCTCAGCTAGAGAGGACTTCAGCAGAGCCAGGTGGGAAGCCTCATTCAGGCGGCCTCTCTTTTTGGGGTATTGTTTTGAGACCTGGGGCAGGGCTGGGAAGAGTTGGGAAAGAGGGGAAGGAGTCTAGGTTTTGGAGGGCTGAGACACTTGAGTGGGGGTGCTAGGGTCTGAGGGGCAGTTGGGGTGGAGGGAAGGGGGGTTACCGAGGTGAAGGGGAAGGGCCTTGGGGCATTTGCCAAGCTGAGGTGATCCTTGTGCTGTGTGACCTTCAGTGAAAGGTGACTGAGAAGCGAGGTACTAACTGAGCAGACACCTGAGCACTTGGAGCGTCTTCCTATCAGGCCCGTCAGGAGACCAGGGGGACTCTTGGCCCACTCTCTCAGACTGTCGCTAGTGAGTGAGCTGAGCCTAGGTAGTTTGGGTGGCAGGACACTGGAACTTCCTTAGCTGCCCAGAAAAGCTGTGCGTGTGTCCGCTTGGTGGGCAGTTCCCTGTGGTGGGGAGCCTGTGGTTGGTAGCGCTATGGAGTCAGGAGTACCTCCCAGCATGGAAGGGAGTGGCTGCTCAACTCCCTGTGGCCCTGAGGAGCCTGGAATGTTCCTTCAGATCTCTGAGCTCACTTGGGAGTAACCGCCATGAAGACCTTCCTCTTTCCTCTCTTCCCCGAGGATGGGGATCAGGTGGGCTCTGCTCCGCACCTCTGATTTGCTAGTCTCCATTCAATCCTCTTCCTGCACCTACCAGGAGCGCATCATTGGCTTCTTCTCTTTTTTTTTTAGATTTTATTGGGGAATTGGGGAAGGGGAACAGCCAAGTTGTTGTCTTTCATTCTTAGTTGTGGAGGGTGCAGCTAGCTCAGCTCCAAGTCCTGTCGCCATCCGGCCGCCCGTCGGCAGCTCGCGGCCACTCAGCTCAAGGTGCCGTGTTCAATCTTAGTTGCGGGTGGACGTAGCCCACCATCCCATGTGGGAGTCAAACAAGAAACCTTGTTGCTAAGAGCGCACACTTTAACCACTGAGCCATCTGGCTACCCATCTGCAGCTCAGGGCAGCTCAGCTCAGGCGCAGCTCACTGGCCCATGTGGGAATCGAACTGGTGACCCTGTTGCTCAGAGCTCGCGTTCTTAACCAACTGAGCCATTCAGCTGACCCCCATCATTGACTTCTAAATGTCAGTACTGAGAGAATCTTTACGCATCAACCAGTCCAGCCCTCCCATTTTGCAGATAGGGAAACTGAGGCCAGGAGGGGCAATGACTGGCTCAAGGTGTAATGGGATAGCCAGCCCTAGAAGCCAGCCTATTTCAACAACCTTCATTGCTCACCTGTGACTGACTTGGGTTCCCAGCAGGTAGTGAGGGCATGAAGGGGGAACCCACTCCAGAATTGGATTGTTGCAACAAGATCAAGCCCCTGAGGAGCACAGGGAGCTCCCTGTCCCCCAGCTTGGACTTCCAGCCCTGCCAAGGCAACCAGGTAAGGCGGAATCCCAGCCTTATCTTTGAGGCCAGACTGCTTATGGAGGGAGGAAAAAATCTAAAGGGATTTGGATTCCCATCATCCCCTGGTCCTGAGCTCCCCTACTCTAGCACATCATGGGGATGGGCCCTTAAGATGCCAGAGACCCTCTCCCATTCCCTAAGGGCCAGACTCCTCTGTGGGCCATGAGAAGGGACAGCGCCATGCAGAAGGCTTAGCTGCATGACTATGACCTTGGCCTTAGGGCCCATCCTGTGGGACTTATAGTCTTTGAGGATTTTCTCCAAGTTCATCTTGGTTCCATTAAAAACCCAGTAGATGGCCTGAGACCTGGTGAAGTAAGGAGGTCAGGGAGGGTGGGGGTAGGGAGAATGCTAGGTAAAGAGTTCTAGGGGCAGAGGGAAGACAATCCTGGGGTGGGCACGAATGTCCCTGGGAAAAGAAATCTTTGGATGAGGGAAGGTGAAGCCATTTGAGTTACAGACATCGTGGGGGTGAGTGAGTCTTAACTTCTCCTCCCCCTTTGGAAAATAAACTAGGGGTGGGATTATCCCAGGGGCCCAGGAGTTACAGCTCCCAGTCCCTTGCCCCCTGCCCTCTAGGTCTTCCCCACCTGCAGGCCACTTCCAGACCCAGTGCATGTCCATAGCTAATCCTGTGCCAGCTGGCTGTGCTCCTGGCCACTGGCACCTGCCAGGTCTGCCTTGCTGGCCTGACCCCAGGGCCTGGACCTCTACTTATGCACCCTGCAGATGGCACCCCCAGGCACGGCTCCGCAGGATGTCAGAGAGGACTCCTTGAGTACAGGTAAGCCCAGGGCACAGGGCTGCACCTTGGTGGATGCCAAAGGTGGGGGGCATTGTTAGGTTCCAGGACAGGAAGGGGAGGGGACCCAGTGTCACTGGTGAGGACAGAGCCTCAGGCACACTTGACTAGCACATTTTGGCCTGGAGTTCTGGCCTAGGAGTGCAAAGGGTTTTCAAGGCGGTGACACCTGAGCCGGAGGAGGTGAGCAATGGCTTTCTCAGGCATGGGTGTGGGATCTGGTGTAGGTGGGTTGAGGATGGAGCTTGTCTATCTGTTTGAGCTGGAGGAAACTTTATTATGAGGAAAGAGCACTGACTGAGACTCAGGGAGTTGGGGTGGTGTCCTGGTACTGCCCTTTTAGTTCCATGACCTTAGGCACATCACTGAGGCCAGTTCCTTCTTCCATAAAAGTAGGCTCTCACTATCCCTATGTTCTAGGCTTATTGCATTGTTAATACACCATTTCTTTATGCCACTGTGACCGCCCCCAGAGGGCAGGGACTATGCTGCTGTGTTCTTTATCCCCCACCCTCTGCCCCCTGAAAGAGCACAGGACAAAACAGCTCAGTAAAGTTGGTTGAGTGAATAAATGAGAATCCAAGCAGGCAATCTACTTTTTAATACCTTTTTCTTTTTAGTGTTTTACTTTATTTCACTCCTGGCTTAGCTTCTACCTCCCTGGCTGTTGCACCTCAGTCCCCCTTGCTAAGCTCTTCTCTACTTACTAAATCCTAAATATTCGCCTGCTGCAAAACATAGTCCAAAGCCTTCTTCCTTCCACTCCCCTTCTCTCCTCTCCCCTCCCCCTCCCCTGTCCTCTTCTTTTCTTCCTCTGTGCTCCTGTTCTCTTTATTTAGAGTGGCACTGTTTGATAGAACTTCCTGTGATAATGGAAATGTTCTAGACCTGTGGTGTCTAATACCACACCTATTGAGCTTTTTCAATAAGGCCAGTGACACTGAGGAACTGATTTTTTTGTTTTTAATTAGGGAACAGTGTATTTTTCCAGGACCCATCAGCCTCCAAGTCAAGTAGTTGTTTCAATTTAGTTGTGGAGGGCGCATCTCAGTGGCCCATGTGGGGATCTAACCGGCAACCTTGGTGTTATGAGCACTGCGCTCTAACCACCTGAGCTAACCGGCCACCCCTTGAATTTTTTATTGTACTTATTTTAATTTAAATGTAGACACATGTGTCAGGTGGCTATCATTTTGGAAACAGCAGATCTAGCATCACCCTCATGTGGTATCATCTGGGCCCCTGACATCCAAATTTTAGTCTCCGAGGTCAAACCTCTCCTTTAACTTCCAAACCAGTTCATCCAACTGCCCACCTGGCTGTTCCACGTGAGTGTCTAATAGGTTTCTTGAATCATTTTCTCCCCCTAAAATTGTTGAGCACTGAGCAAACTAGCAGCTTTTATAGGCAAGTGCAATTGCAATCCAGGAAAGCCCAGAGAGGGGAAACGCCTTGCCCAGAACGCCCAACAGGCTTGCAGCCTAGAGCTCTCTCCCAGTCCCGAGTGGGTCAGGTTAGATGGGAAGTAGAATTTTACCCCAGCCTGTGGGGCCCTGACCGTCTTCCCTTTCCTGCTCAGAGCACCAGCCACCAGGGCCACATGCCGGCTCCATCGATGACAAGAAACTCACAGCCAAGTACCCTCTGAGCGGGGACAAGATGGGAAACGAGCTGGAAAGAGTTGGCGAGGGGGCTCCCTGCCCATCCTTCTCTTCTCACAACACCTCTTCCCCACCCCCCTGGCAGAATACAAACAGCCTCAGCCCCTTGGCTTTCTGCTCCTGCCACCTGTTTGCTCCAGTCTCCAAAGAACTCCCATTCTGCCTCCACCCCCTCTATCCTGCATACCCACTTCTCCTGCCTCCCCCTTATCTGTTCGCCTATGGGGCCCTACCTTCTATCCAATGTCCCCCCCTCTTCATGCTGCCCCAAGACACCTCCTACCTCACCGGGGCAGTGCCCAGCATGCTGATGAGTGTCAGTGAGTCTGGGCACCAGAGTGCCCACGGGGAGACCCTGTGTCCTTACCCAGGGACCTCCCAAGCCTCTGGCCAAACTCAACCCTCCCAGGCCTGGAATCCAGGCCCTGGAGCTGCAAGGATCTATACACCAGGGCTGGAGCATACTGGCAGAGCGGCTCCAGCAAAGCGGGCCCCAACAGGCTCCCGGGCGGGCACCGCAGCCCTGCCTTACCCGCTGAAGAAAGAGAATGGCAAAATACTGTACGAGTGCAACGTGTGCAGCAAGAGCTTTGGGCAGCTCTCCAACCTCAAGGTATCTGCCTCTTGGGCTCAGCATCCTTCAATGACCCCCCTTCCATCCTGCTTCTGGAATCAAGGACCTTAAAGCCAGAAGGCACACCTGGGCAGCCTCCAGGCCATGACCTTGGATGGTTCGTTTGGCTCCTCAATTTCACCTCTGTAGAGAAAAGATATAGGATAAGATGGCTACCAAAGTCCTCTCCACCCTAAAAGACTGTCTATGAGAGCCTCTCATTTAAGTTAAAAATGAGAAACTTAGGCTCCTAATGGGAAGGGTTTGCCCAAGGTCACTTTGATTTAGTGGTTGAGTTAGGCTTTGATCTCAGTCTCTCAGCATCTAGTGCAAAGCCCATTCCTGAACAGCCATCCTTCCTGGATTCCCAGTTAAGCCTCCTCCTGTTTATTTGTTTGAAGTTCAGGTCCGGGGGACGGTAGATTTTAGTGAGTCTCTAGACCACAACAGACCTGACAACCAGCCTTTTTCAAGTGGGAGCCCACAAATCAGTGTCAATGCTCTTGGCGTCCAGCAGGGGGCAACCATGGGAGCATGTCACCAAAGACCTGCAGCTTGTTGGCACCCGCTGAAGTTGAGGAAAAGTTACGGTTATGGGGGAAGATCCCGTCTAGGTCCTCTAGGGCATGAGTTCTTAAACTTTAATAAGCCTCAAACTACCAGGAGAGCTAGTAAGCATGCAGTCTCCTAGGCCCTGGCCCCAGAGATTTTAATTCAGCCCGGCAGGGTGGGGCCTGAGAATCTGTATTCCTAACATGCTCTCTCAGGTGCTGCTAATGCTGCTGGTTTGTGGACCACACTTTGAGAAGCACAGCTCAGGATATATATACATGGGGTATCCCTTGCCTGGCCTTCTGACCACTGCCATCTCCCCTCCTGCAGGGCAGCAGAACAAGTGGGGGTATCCTGGGGAATGGAAGAGAGGCCCTGAGGGGGGTGAAAGAGAGGCAAGGGGATTGAGAGATCTTGATGCCAAAAAGGGGCACTGTGGGGGTGTGGGTAGAGATTCATAGAGGATCCCAGGCCCTGCTGGGAGCTCTGGGCAATTGGCAGTGTTTCTCCCACACCTGGCTCAGGTTCACCTGCGTGTGCACAGTGGGGAGCGTCCGTACCAGTGTGCCCTGTGCCAGAGGAGCTTCACCCAGTTCGCCCACCTGCAGAAACACCACCTGGTGCATACAGGGGAGCGGCCCCACAAATGCCTGGTGAGCCCCTCTTCCCCCTCCCCTGTACTCATCCAGGCAGGTGAAGGAGTTTCAGGTCCCTGGGGGGATGGCACCAATAGTTGTAGTCTCCATTCCCCAATCCTCTTGAGCAAGTGGGGACAGGACAGGAGGGGCAGGAGGTGGAGGAGGGTGAAAAGGACCCCTCCCAGCCTGGAAGGGCCAGGATGTGATAGCGGAGGTCATTCGTGGGGTCTGGAAGGGGGAATAGAGATATATGTCTGTGGGGGGAGGATAATAAAGTTGGGGGAATCTGGGTGCCCATTACCTTCTTCCCAGCGTTGCTGGAGGAATTACTACCACAGTGTGTGCAAAGTGTATAAACACTGCATATAATAACATCAGCTCGATGTTAACTCCCTCTCTCTCGGAGCCTCACCATATCCTTTGAGAGGTCAGAAGGGCGGGGATTCTTTCCCTGTTTTACAGAGGTAGCAATGAAAGCAGCAGAATGGTTATGAGTCTGGACTAAGGCAGAATCCTCATTCTGCCTTCAACTCGCTGTGTGACTTTTGGCTAGTGACTTCCCCCTCTGAGCCTCTGCTTTCTCACTGTCGTACTCGTGCTTAGTCATGATTCTCCAGAGTCCTGGGGAAAACTATGAGAGATCAATTCCTGGCATGTGGCTGCTTCCAGTAAATGTTAATTATGCCCCCTTAAGCGGCAGCCCCAATTCATAAGGGTTCTATGTAATTACCTCATTCAGTCCATCATATCCATGAGGTTAAGTATTAATAGTCACATGTTACCAATAAGGAGAGCAAGGCTCAGAGAGGGGAAGTCACCTATACAAGGTCACACAGAGAATAAAAGAACCAGGATACTAATTCAGGTCTGCCTGGTTCCAATGTGCCAGACACTGTGGGCCCCAAGGAGGAATACTGGGGGTGGGTGTATATGTGGGGGGAGCTTCTGGGCCTGCCCTACAGGGAGGTGGGGATGGGGAATGGAGTGGGGAAGCAGAGATCCTGGGCCAGCAGGTAAGCAGAACTAATACCAGTGCCCATTTCCATCAGATGTGCCACAAGCGCTTCAGCAGCTCCAGCAACCTCAAGACCCACCTGCGCCTTCACTCAGGGGCCCTGCCCTTCCAGTGCAGTGCCTGCCCAAGTCACTTCACCCAGCACATTCACCTGAAGCTGCACAATCAGCTGCATGCTCCACAGCCCTGGGGCCTAGCTCACACCCACCTGCCTCTGACCTCTCTCGCCTGCCTTGCCCAGTGGCACCAGAGGGCACTAGGTCTTGTGGCAGCGCCATCAGAGAAGCAAATGGGCTGAGATGCAGACAAGATCAAGGTGTCCTCAGCAACCCAGGGAAAGCAAGGGCAGCCAGCCTGAGCTGTGGTGTCAGGACTGCCCTGGGGAGGGGGCAGGGGCAGAGCAATTAAAGGATTTTCTCTATAACAATTTGAGGCCTCCTGAAGTTCAACAAAGGAGGGGGAAGTCATCCTGTATTTGCCAGACTTCACACCCCACCTTGGAGCAGGTCAAAACATATCGAGAAAGAGCCTGTGCTACCCACACATAGGATGGGTGTCTGCAGCCATCATCTACATCTAGCTGGGTTTGGGTTCTGCTCCCTTTGGGAAACAAGCCCTTCATCTCAGCTCACCAATGGACAGTCCAGCCTTCCAGGACTCTGCCAGGTGCAAACTGTACTGCTAAGCATGGGGCACATTGCCCTGTCATCTGAACAGATGTTCCAGCACCTGTCCAGATGTCTGTCTGCTTCTTCTCACCATCTTCTCCTAGGAGACCATGGGGCCGCCTCAATTGGTACTCCCTGCCATGGTCTGTACATGCCAGGTTATGTGCCCCCTGTGGGGGTAGAAGGGCAGGAACACAGGACGTCAGTGTCCATCATGACCCAGAAGCATGATGTCCTGTGTGCCAGAACCAGTCACCACAGAGGGCAAAAGGCTAAGGAGGTGCTGGGCTCAGGAAAGGGTTAGAGGCCCTACAAGGAATACAGGCAAGGAAGAACTGGCAAAGAGAGCCTGGGAACTGGGACCATCCTGATGACCTACCTTCCTGCAGTTCCAGAGGATCCCCTCAAATGTGCAAGGTGTTCCCCACCCCCATTGGAGAATTACAGAGCAGCATCAGGTGGGAAAGGGCACTGCCTGGGAGGGAGTAGGCCCAGGTTATATTACAATAAACAGTAGCTATTATTAAATAACAATAGCTGGCCAATTTCCAGCAAGGGAAGCCGTTGGCACCCCTGTGGGTTTCAGAGGGGCTTCCCTACCCAGGTACTGGGCGAGATTCCAGCTGAGTCAAGATTTGGGCTATGTAGGCTCTCCAGAACAGACACAGGGAGGGGGCTAGGAGGAGAGGGGGAAAGAGAGAGGAACTCAAAATAGGGAGCCCACCATGGCAGGGCAATGACAGGGTCAGCATCAGCCCCCATCAGTAATCAAAGTCTGGGTTTCAAGTCCATCCAGTCACCCCTTTGGCCCCACGCCAGATGCCAACCACGTGGTTAGGCCCCGCCCAGTCGGTAAGCCCACACGCCTGTTCCTGTTCGTGGCCCCGCCCGTGGCCCCGCCCTTGCGTCCCAACTCCTCCTCCAGGGGGAAGACCCTTTGCTCAGCCCCGCCTCCTGGCCCCTCTTTCCTGATCAACCTCGTTTCGACTCTTCTTGAGGGATGCCTGCACCGGGTGGGCCCTTGGCTCCCCACAGGAGACCTAAAGACGTAGCCTGGGGAGGGCCAAGGGCAGGGCCTTGGGGAGAGGGGCTCAGAAAGAGTGGTCCCCCGCAGAGCGCACTCACTGCATCTGGGTCGGTCCCCAGCCAGCAGGCAGTGCGGGCGGGGCCGCTGTTTGCTCAGGGGGACGGGCCGGAGGAGGCGTTTCTCCGCAAATGAGCGGATCCGGTGGCCCCTGCGTCCCAGAGCGGTGCCCCGACGCCCTGAGCCCGGGGCTTGCCCTCGACATGGCCGAGCGGCGCGAGGGCCTGGGGGCCCGCCTGACTCGCCGCCTGGCCACGCTAGGGGTCCGCAGGGAGCGCAGGGAGAAGCAGACCCCAGAGGAGGCCATACCCCGGGATAGGTGAGGGGACGGAGGAAGGCCTCGTGGGGCGTCCCTGGTGCCTAGGGTGTGTGTGTGTGTGTGTGTGTGTGTGTGTGTGTGTGTGTGTGTGTGTGTGTGTGTGTGTGTGTGTGCAGTGGATGTTCAAATAAGTGTATGAGTGTCTCGGAGCATAAAAATATGTGTCGATTTTGGATATGTGAATGTGAAACCAGTCTTTATAAAGTCCTTGTGCTCCTTTAAGACTTTAAAACAACTTTTGCAATTTCCTAAGTCAGGCTAGTGCCTTGCAGACAATGGTTTCCTCTCCTGAGGACACAATTTAAAGGCAAATGTAGTACACATAGTAGCTCCTTCCGCCTCCGTGGACTTTGATTCTCACATCACAAGCCAGTTTCCCTCTGGTCTTCGTGTCCCTTTGTCATGAGTATGACAGGTTCCTGAGCAATCTCAGGCTGCACTGAATTTGTCCTTAGATGCCATGGGATGCCCTGTCATCCCAGATTGTAATAATCAACCTTTATTTGCCACTTGCTTCATACCTTATCTACATTATCTCATTTAATCCTAACAGCAGCTCTATGAGACAGGTATTCTGTGATTCAGGTATGGAAATGGAGGTTCAGAGACGTGAAGTCACCTGCCCAACGTCACACAGCTGCGAAGTGGTGGAGTTGGGATACAAGCTTGAGCAGTCTGACTCCAGAGCTCACATCCTTGAAGGCTTGGGCAGTTCTGTTGCTTTGACAGACTGCAGGACTGCAAGCCAGCGGGCCAGAGCTCTGTTCTAACCCTACGTGCCACTGGCCATGTGACCTTGAACAAATTACTTCGCCTTTCCAAGCCAGTCACTGGTAGCTGATATTTGGGTGGGAGGAAAAAGGCCCAGTGGATGGTGGGGTAGAGTGACTGGGAGCGGGAATAGTGAAGAGGACCCCAGTAGCTCCTAGGCCCTGTATCCAAAAAGAGGGTGGGGTGTTTGTGTGCTATGCAGTTACTGGGCAATTTGTTCTGATCTTATCATGACACAACTGTCTTCAGCTCCCTCTGGGAGGGATCAGGGTGTGGTGGGGGCAGAGTTATGGGAGGGGTTTGTACTGCTCTCTCACCCCAAAGTGACAGTGGAGGGGAAGGCCTAGCCACCCTATGCCCGGAAGCCTGGGTGCCCTGGGGGTAGGGATGGGGTGGTGCCCACACCTGCCAGTGCCTTTTCCGCCTCCCCGCCCCCCACCCCCGCTGGAAGACACGCCCTCCCCCTTTACCCTGTCTGGCAGGAATCTGCCCTATAGGCCCAGGTGGCACTGCCCCTCCCTTTTCCCCCCATTTGACAGGAGGTGGGGTTGAGATGCAGGTGAGTTGGGCGTGGAGGGCAGGGGAGGGACTGTGAAGGCTACTGCGCCAGCACGATGACACATTCCATGTGTGCACTTGGACTCAGTTCTCACCAGCTGTGGGAAAGGGATTCTGGCACCAAGGCACAGGCCTCAGATTCCTGCTGATTTCCTGGGGTGAGGGGTAAAATGCATGGAGGAGGCAGCCAGGGCACTTCCCCATCTTGCCCCTATTAGTGTGGTGATGTCCAATCAGCCTTTGGAGTATCTTAATTTCAAGGTTTATTAGCTGTGTGACTCCAGGCAAGTCACTTCACCTCTCTGGGCTTTAGTTTCCTTATCTGAAAAATGGGGCACTAATATACAACTTTCAGGATTATTATGGAATTTAAAGGAGATCATGTAGTCACGATACATAGTGCTAAGCCTGGCACAGGGAGGGTCTCAGCAAATGGCGAGCTTTTGAATTATTGGGGCACTGTCCTTTTTCTCTATTCTAGCGCTGATACAGGCCTAGTCCCTACTTTTGTTCCAAGCCTTCCTTATCTGTGTCTCTGGGGCTACAGTGAACAGTTGGGAGAGGGAGCAGAAAGAAGGCTGCTCTATAACACTACCCCCTTCCCCAGGTTTCAGGAGCTCATCCTGCCTGTGGGTCTGAGAGAAGTGGGGGGAGGGCCGGGGTCCAGTCTTGGGGTAAAGAGTAGGAGGCTACCTCACTCCCTTCCCCCTGTGCTTCCTTCCCAGGCCCTGGGGTGGCCAGAGCTGCCCTAACCTGGCCCAGGACCAGGGCAGCACCAGCAATGTCAGCCTCAAGGTAGGAGAGAATGCAAAGGCAGAAGCTTTGGGAGGGGCAGGCCCTGAGAACCCTGACTCATAAGTCAGGCCACTGGGGTTCTCTAGTCCTCCCTCTGCCACTAATTCACTGGGTGACCCTGGGCAGATCACTCCTCACCTCTGAACCTCAGTTTCCCCATCTGCAAAATGGGAACAGTAATGCGTCTCAGGGCTGCTGTGAGAAATGAGGTAATGGATGTAGAACCTCTAACATGGGGCCTAGGTGCTCAGGGAACATGAGCTTCCTAATGCTGGGCCCCCAGGGAAGTATATTGGGTCAGTGCCTGTTCCCAGGACCCCCTTCCCCACACTTTTGAGTTTAGCTTGACCTCTCCCCATCTTTGGCTCCTTTTCCCCACTTCCTGGCATGGACCCCTGGGGGTGACACTGGGCCAGTGACTTAACCTTATGGCCACAGTTTCTCCATCTGCAGTGGGTACCTGAGCCACGGATTGGGCAGTACTGGGTGTCCTCCCCTTGGAGAAGGAGATGGTCTCTGGAGTTGGCTCAAACAGCTGTGTGTCTCTCTGTGGTCCTGAATACCATTAATAATTACTAGTGCTTAATTGAATACTTGTTATGTGCCAGTGCTCTGCATGGATTATCTCATGCAGTCTTCACAGCTCCCCCAGAAAGCAGGTAGTGTTATTATCACACCCATTTTATACAGGGGGAAACTGAGATGCAGGAGGTATTGCTGCTAGAAAGTAGCAGAGCTGGGATTCAAGCCTGGGTTGCCTCGCTTCAGGCCCCCGCATGAATCACTCTCCCTTCCTATCTCTTGAGGTATTTAGCCCCTGGAGAATGAGTGGCTGCATCTATTTCACAGATGAGTAAATTGAGGCATTTGGGATCAAAGTCCCCCACTAGGAGGAATTTTGACCCAGACTTGATTCCTCTATTGCCAGGAGCACAAGCCCAGCCCTGAAAACTGGTGGTTTGGGGGGCAGTGTCCACATGGGTATGGAATCCTGGATCCTTTCCCCTCACTCCCACAATCAGGCTTGGTTGGCCCCAGGGGAAAGACAGCAGATAGAGGTCAGGTTTATCCTATTTTCAGGGGAAACCTCATGTCCCAGGTATATCTCTATGCCCAGCTAATTCCTCCCAGGTGTGCCTGGGAATCTCAGGTGGGAGGGTACTGGGGAGGTGGCTGCAGGCTCTCTGAAAGCCTGGATCGAGCAGAGGCCATGGGCACCTGTGGCAGGCGTGCCCACGCAGCCCCTAATCCCCAGGGCAGCTGGTTCCAAAGGGCCGGAGACCTGCAGACGCCTGGGAAAGTAGAAGTTGGCCTGAGAGTTGGGCCCTGACACGTGACTTTAGTCATGTCACTGTCCCCTTTGGGCCGTGCTTTCCTCATATGTAGAATGAGAGGGCATGAGTTAAATGCTGAAGGGTCTTCCCAGAGCTCTGCCCCTTCGTCCAGCTCTCATGGCCCTGGCAGCCTCTTCTTAAGGCAGCTCTGCTTGATGTCAGAGCTCTGCTCAGCTTCTCCTCCGCCAAAGAGAGCAGTCAAGGGTGATCAGGGGTGCCTGGAGGGCAGGGGGAAGACGCTGTCACCAGGCTCCTGCCTCTGCTTTCCCTCAGAGCCAAGCCCAGAGCTGCTCAGAATGGGACCTTCGGGAAGCGAGCCGTGGTTCCTGGCTTTGGAAGCGACGACGACGACGACAACACAGCTCCATGGGGCTCGCTCAGCCTCTGGGACGCCTACAGCGGCCAGCCGTGGGCAGTGCCTCTGACATGGCCCACTATGCCTCTGCGGGGTTGGAGAGCCCAGTACTGGCAGCAGAGCCTGCTGGTGCCAGGCACCCCTCATGCCCTGTGCCAGTTCCTGGACGGTTAGAACAGGAAATCCCAGACAGTGCTTGCCTGCAACCCCCGTACATAGCCCCAGAGGTCCCTCTGAATCCTGAGGCACATGGCAACCTGGAAGACATGCTGCCCCGCCCAGCATCCTTCCCAATGGCAGCGGGGACAAAGGGCGAGCCTGCCACCCCAGAGCCAGCCCTGCCAGTGCCGGCTCAGATTCTACCTGAGCGTTCCTCTGCCAGCAGGACCCGCTACCACATCACTGTCATCCTGCAGGGGTGTGGGCAGGCACCTGGGGAAGAGGGTGAGGAGCCCAAACCGGCCCAACCAGCTCTCCACCCCTTCTGCCCCAAGGAATCCAGGGGCCGGCGGAATCCTCCCCAGGGGCCCCGCCCCATCACAGGGTGCATGACTGAACCACCCCAGGAGCCCTGGCTAAGAGCCCCACCGCATCAGGAGAGCACAGACCAGCGGCAGGAGCTTCAGGCCCCCTGGACACCTGGGTCCCCACACAGACGGTGAGTACAGGTCTGTCCCCACATGGGGAAATGGTAAGAGGAGAAACTGTTCTAGCTGCCCTCTCTGGGGTCTCTGCCTTGTCTCCAGACTTCTCCAATTCTAGGCCCATTCATTCAGCTCCCTGAGCATGAACTGACTCTGCCACCCTCTCCCCACCCATCTTGCCCTCCTTTCATACCTCCCCTAACCCACAGCCTGTCTCCTGGAACCCATTGCTGCTCTCCTCCCCTGTCTATCTGAGGAGGGGAAGATCCTGTCATGGAGAGGATGGGGGAGAGGTCCTCTTCTCCTCAGCAATACCCACCACTCCCTGGTTCTGTTCAGGAGACCACAGACCTTGCTCATCTGGGAATAGGCACCCAGCTACAGTGCTGGGTGTCCTGGGACAAGTTGCTTAACCTCTCTGGGCCTTGAGTTGAGTAGATTTGGTAGCTGGAGATGAGGTGGTTACAGTATCATGCTTTGAACTCCAGAGCTGGGCTGCCAAAATAGCAGGGATGCTTATTAATAATGCCTCGGTTACAATAATAATTACCCCCATCTGGTTCTGTGTCAGCCACCACAGGAACAGGCGCCAAGATTCTCGAGACTTGGTTTTTATTTGTTTGAAATGACTCTTCCAAATATGCCTGGTAGGCTCAGAGGTTAAAGGGTAGGTCCCTTAAAATTCACTGAGGAGGGAGTGAACATGGGACCTCTCTAGGACCACCAGGTAGGGGACTGGGCCTCAAATGGGGCTCTGAAAAGTTTCTAATGAAGGTGGTGGCTGTCATTTGTGGTTTGTTTTCTAAACATCATCCTATTTAATGGTCACAAAAGACCCATGGAGTAGGACTAATCCTGCTCTGCACCCCCACGCACCCATGACAATGAGGAACCTAAGGCTCAGAGAGGTTACACCACTTGCTCAAAGTCAACTAGCAAGTGAAGGGGCCAGAATTTGAACACGAGTGCCTGTGCTCTAACCACTTATCTATCCTGCCTCTCAGAAGCCGCGTTGGCTCTGTGCACACAGTGGAGGGTTGAATGTGGTTGCTGTGTGGACTCCAGGGTTTTCTGTGACCCTGTAGAGATGGATTTGGCTGCACTGTGTTAGCAGAGGCAGCATCAGGGATGCCCAGGCCTCTGGGCAGGAGTCAGGGTACCTGGTCCTGAGGCAAGGAAGAGGGAGATGTGGGACCCCAGCTGGCTCAGAGACCTGCCTGGGTGCCCCAGCTGGAGGAGAAGGGCTGCAGAGAGGGAGGGGGAGGAGGCAGGTCTTGAAGAGGGTGTAGGAGAAGCAGTAGGTTTAGCTGGGAGGGCTGGGGATCTACCTGCCACTCCCTGGCTATTTCGGGCCCAGGTGGATAATGACAGACTCGAGCAGGAGGCTAGGGCTCACTTAGAGAGGAGGAAGTAGACCTCCAGGGACATCATCCTTCTATGTCCCTAGGGTTCCTGGGCCAGGATTGGCAATTATAGGGAGTGGGGAGGCGGGACAGAGTTGGGTCTGCAAGTGGGAATGTGTATGCATCCGTTGGTGTGCATCTGTGTTCAAGTATAAGTGAATTTCCAGAGGAGGAGGTCTTGAGGCTGTGAATTGACTGTATGCATGTATGTGTTGTGAATGTATGCTTTCGTCATTATGTCTCTGTGTTTCTGTGAGTGTGACTTGTATGTCGCTGTGTCTTTGAGTGTTTGTAACTTTGACTCTGTGTGTTTATGTCTGACTGCATAAGTCTGTATAAGTGTCTGTGTGTTTTTGTGCCTGTGAGAATCTGAGGGTCTATGCTGGTATTGTCCCTGTGTCAGTGTATGCCTATGTGACGCAGCATGTGTTTTCGGGCATGTAGGCCTGTGGACTGGTTTGGCCTAGTTTGGGGGTGACTCACAGGTAAGCGGGGAGAATCCAGGACTTGTTGGGTTAGACAAGGCTCTTTCCCACACTCCCCCCGCCCCTTCCTCAGCCTCTCCCTTCCCAGCCCCACACACCTTTTTTGGAGGTCACAGGTTACCTTGCCAACAAATCAACTTCTGATTTGGGGCCCTGGAGAAGATAGGGCTTTGAGAATAGGCACTTCTGCTGGCTTAGGAGAGGCACCTGGGTCATTGGGGTGTGTCTTAAGAGCAAGGACAAAAAAGGGGAGCTATAGGAGGGCAGATTCCAACATCATTTGAAGAACATTCTAGCAGTCATGACTGTCCAGGGATCAGACAGTTCAACTGTCAAATGGTGACCTCCCTGTCCCTAGAGGTAAGCAAGCAGAAGTGAATGACCACATGCGTGTGGAATGAGTAACTGTCAGGGGTGTTGTCCAGGGGTAGGGTTGGGTTGAGAGAGACATTGCATCCTGATTATTCGGAGGTTACTGACAATATCTGATCAGATTAACAATGGCTTCCTTTGAAGCTGCTTTCCTGTTGCTTTGCCAAAGCCTATGGGGTCTTCCAAATGTGGTTCCTGTTTGTATGTCTAATTCTTTGACCCCTGGATTCCGAGGATACCACCTTCATGGGAAAGTTGGCTTTGGATGAACCTAACCTAACACAATTAGCATTGAGTGAATGAATGAGTGAATGAATGAATAAATGTCTTAGAATCCAGGTTTTGTCTTTTACTATTAATGCCATCAGGGAGAGGGACTCTCAGAGAATGGTAGTTGTTATTACTGTTATTCAGAAATGGAGAGGAGACTCAGGGGGGCTCGGTGAGGGGGTGAAGTTCCATGTGGGGGATTCCCAACAAGGAGGACAGGGGTTCTATTGGAAGAAAGGGGACTCCTTAGTGAGGACAGGGGAGAGGGTCGGCGCCTCAGTGAAGAGCTAAAATCCAGGGTCTTAGGTGTCTGATTGTGTCCTGCTCTCTGGAATTCGGCCTGGGGAAAGGATTGGGGCTCCCTCTCAGCCCCTCACCTTCCCCATATACAAGGCTTTTCTGGGGCTACTACTCAGACACTGCCCTGGGCCAGACCACATGCTGTCATAGCCACTGGGTCAGATCAGGCTTCCCTGAGCCTCAGCCTTTTCATCTCTGTCCCTCATAAAAACTGAGTCACTGCTGGGGCCCACAGGGCAGGGTCAAAGTTCTAGATTCCACCAGCTTCTCAGGAGGGAGGAAGATAAACATGGGGGAGGGCACTTGTGGGCATGGGTCCATTTCTGGCCTTAACCTCCCTTATAGTGGTCTGGGGCTGCCTCGTGAGAGCAGGAGCAGACCTGAAGACAGGTTGGGCCTGAGGCTGGGGATGAACATGCTGACTTCTCAGGTCCTTGGGGTCTGAGAACAGGATTGCCCTGGTCAGTGCAGCCTGGAAGTCAGAGTGGTGGCTGGATGACCCCTCCAGGACTGCTGTGGGACTCTTTAAAAGTGAATCTCCAAACGACAGAATCTCAGTTTACCAGGTAAATACATCAGGGAGTTTGATATGGTGGTTAAGCACTTAGGGCTGGGGTTCAAGTCTTGCTTCTGCTGCTGTGTGACTCTGGGCAAGTTTCTTAACCTCTCGGAGCTCCCCCCATCTGCAAAATGGGAATATTTGTTGATAATTTATTAATAATTTATTCCTTATGACATATCAAATGCATGGGATTCTTTTGAGGGTTCCATAGGACAATGAATATAAAGCAGTTAGCAAGGTGTTTGGCACACAGTAAGCCCTCAACAAATGGCTTTTGTTGTTATTATTACTATTAAAACAGGGAGATTGACCAGAGAGTTTCTAGGGAGCTTAGAGGTCTTCTCAGACAGTTGTTATCATTATCCCCTATTTAGTATAGGAGGTAATGGTGACTCAGAGATCAAGGAGGGTCAGAAAAGAACTAGGACCCAGGCCCCACCCCTTAAGGTATGAAGGTGAGATGGCGAGGACCACAGGAATAGCTGGATGTGCTCAGAGTCTTGGCATCGGGGACAAGAAGAAAGATGTCTGGACATGGATTCAGATACGCATTCAAACCCCAGCTTGGCAACTTGGCAGATGCCTCACCCTGGGCCAGCTACTCCTCTTCTCTGACCCTTGGTTTCTTTACCTGAACCATGGGGGAAGTAATCATCGAGGAGAAAATTGAAGCGAGTGCATTCAAGTCCAAAGTGCTGGGTCCTAAGGGGCTACATTCAGACCCACAGATGCACCCAGATGTGCACCTATGCTCAGTCACACCACATGCTCACTTGAGCACACCTGCTAGGGTTAGGTCACAATTCTCCAAGGTGACAGCATGAAGTTTGTGAGCCAGCCTTTTGGTTTATAAGGCGAGTTTTTGTTCTTTCTCTCTTATTGGATCCTGACAATAACCCTATGAAACACACTCTTATTATTACAGTTTTGTGGCTGGGAACCCCGAAACTTGAAGGGAAGAAGTGCCCTGCCCAAGGTCATCTAGCTAGTGAGTGACAGGGTCAGGGGGAAGCCAGCTTTGCTTGAGGCCAAAGCCCGTCTTTCCTTCCCTTCTTATTTCAAAATGGCAGGAACAGTGTCAGAACAGTTGCCCAGTTTTCAGTTTCTGGTTTTCTAGTTTTGGGGGCTCCTGGAGGACTAGACCCAGGGCTCCTTGGGCAGAGTCCCAGCTTCATCCATAGACCAGTGGGTTAGACCATATACCTTTCTGCTCTCTCTGTCTTCCCTCTTTTTCCAGTCTCGGGCCTCAGTTTCATGTCTGGAAGGACCCTGGCATAGTTCAGGGGTCGGCAAACTTTGGAGACGGAAGAGCCAATCCTGTCCCTCACAACAATTTAAAATAATTATTCGAGAGCCATAAAACAAATGAAATCACCATTATGTGAATAATATCCTTTAAAAATTTTATAAATGAAACTGATAGTTTTATTGTCATTTTCAATTTTACTTCAGAGCCACATGTATGTACCCAAAGGGCCGCATGTGGCTCGCCAGCTGCAGTTTGCCGACCCCTGGCATAGGGGATCATCTGAAAGTGGGGAAAGGGGTGGGACAGCTGAGAGTACCATGCCCATTTTACAGGTGAAGAAATGGACCCAAAAGGTCAAATGACTTGCCTGAGGTTACCCACTCTGACCTTGGCAGGGGTGGTTATTCTGCGCTATGGAGAGCCACCCTCACCACCCCTAACCCGTCTCTCTCCTTTCTGGCACCATCTACAGGGAGCTGGGCTGCAGTGAGCCAAGGGCACTTCAGGACAGGTTGCTGGAGCCCAACATGGAGGAGGCAGGTGGGCCCCCAGCTAGGGCCGAGGCCCGAGTAGTAAGTGCCAGACTGACATGGCGGCAGCGGCCCCCTGCCCAGGAAGAGATAAGACACCATTTTCACAAGGTGTCCCTGGTGTCCGGGGCCCAGATGGAAGGCCCTCAGGAGGAGCTATATGGGTACTGCCACCATGGAGAGGAAGTCAATGGCTTTGCTGCACCGGAAGAGACTCTTAATCACCAAGGCCCCAGGCATGGGGCTGGCTCCGAGAGCTTCCAGAGCCACGGGCCCATCTTCTCCAAGAAGTACACACTACCTCCCAAGGAGAAAAGGCTGGTGGGGAGGCTGAAAGAGGCTGTGGACCAGGGTGATGGCAGCCCCCAAGGACCCAGAACTGAGCCGCCAAGCCTGGGAGCCATGTCCAGGACTGAGCTTTTGGTGCCTCTGCCTGGGCCCCGTGAGCCGAGCCCCCACCCAGGTGCAAGCCTCAAGGAACGGCGAGTGACACGCACTGTGCGGACCACTGTGGTGATGGGAGGGCACGTGGACCGACGAGTGAGCAGCTCTGTGACCTTGGGGCCAGCGCTCCCTGGTGAAGCCCTGTCAAGGGGCCGCAATGCTGTGCGCACAGTCCGGACAATCGTGGTGAGCCCCAAGGCTGAGGGCTCTCCCAGCCGAAGTCAGGCCCTGGAGCTATTAAGCAGCCTGGTGCCTGTTGAGCGAAACCCACCTGCCAACCGGCTTTCCAGGCCCATGGCTGCTGTGCCAAGGAGTCCAGGTCTGGGCAGCACAGGGGGCACAGCCGTGGGACAGTTGCCTAAGATGGGGACAACAGAGCCAAAAGACAGATCTGCCCTGGCCCCTGCAGGCATCCCAGAGGGTGCTCACCCACCTCAAAACCGGGATGTGTCTGCAGTTCACCCAGACCAAGACCAGGGCCGAGCCCGGGCCACCAGGGCCCATGAGGTCCCAAGGGTGCAGGAAGCCTCCTGCCCCACCCAGTTCCCTGTCCAGACCCACACCCCCTCCCTGGGCCTAGTGCACTCCCCTGAGCAGCCTGTGGTGCCCACTCTCCCCAGGGCCCAGCTTACTCTTGATCTCAGGGCATCCCAAGCCCTGCCCTCTGTAAAAAGGGAAGGGCTCACAGATCCCCCTGCTGCCACCGTCAGGCCCATGGTAAGGAGTGACGTTGTTACAGTCCCTGGACAATCTCTTGCTCCATCCTCTGCAAGAAGGAAGGCTGACCCCAGCCCAGGAAATCTTTCTATTCCATCTTCCCCAAAGAATAAGGTTGTTCAGGACTCTGAAAATGTCCCTATTTTCTCCCTCACCCAGAAAGAGATAGTACAGGGCCCTGGTGTTCCTGCTGACCCAGCTCTCACCCAGAAAGAGGTTGTGCAGGCTACTAGTGTTCCTGCTGCCTCACCCCCCAAGGCAACCAAGGTTGTCCAGGGTCAAGAAGGCAGACCTAACACCCCAAAAGAGGTTGTCCAGGGTATTGAAGACAGCCTTGCCCCTTCCCTTACGAATGAAGAGTCTGTTCAAGGCCTGACTGCTCCTGCTAGCCCATCCCCCAAGGAGGATAAGGCTTTCCAGGGTTCTGAAGGGAGCCCCATCTCATCTCCCACACAAAAAGAGGTTCTCCAGGGCCCTGGTGCTTCTGCTGTCCCATTTTCCACCCAGAAAGTGGTTGTCCAGGGTCCAGCTGTTCTCCCTGTTCCCTCCTCCCCAGTGAGCAAGGTGCCTCCCAGCCCAGGAGTCCCCCCGGCCCCAGTGCCGATGGGAGCAGAGGCCAGTCTGGAGTCCCAGCTTGTCCTTGACTCCACCAAGGGCAAGGTGCTCCCAGAGCCAACAAGGAAGGAGGAGGAGGTGGCCCTGGCAGCTGACCTGGAGATTTTCCTGGATACCCTGCGGAGCATGGAGGCCCCTGAGATCCTCCGCACTCACCGGCTGCCACGAGCCCCCCGCTCCTCTTACCTGGCCATGTATGCCACGCTGCCCACCATCGAGGAGGACCAGCCTGGGCAGTGGGTGCTGGGGCCCAGCCCCCAGGAGGTTCCTGCACTGGAAGAAGAGGAGGAGGAAGAGGAGCCAGAGAACCCCTACCTGAGTGAAGACGAGAAGCTCCAGCGCAGGCAGGAGAAAGCCAGTCCCAGCCCCGCCTGGGACTCCCGCCCAGCCAGGCCCCTGCAGGCCTCTTCCTCTCCTATGGAGATGATGAAGAAACATGTCACAGAGGCCAAGGGCTCCCATTCAAAGCCAGGGCCAGAGTTGCAGGCAAGCAGCAGGCCCACTTCCCGTCTTGGAGGCAGCCTTCTCTTTGGTGGTCTGGAACCACTGGGCACAAAACTATCTGCTCTGCCACCCCATGGGGCACCGGGGCTCAGGAAGGTGCCAGGACAACTGCCCCTTCTCTGCAGTGAAAGGCCGCTGCCAGAGAAGCCTGAAAGTGCCAGGCCCCTTGAGGGCTGGGTAAGTGAGGCCTTGGGTGGGCAAGGGAGGGTGCCTGGCCTTACCAGGGTTTAAATGGTGTGAGGACCATGGTACTGGGAGGCACAGTCTCCAGAAGCCAAAGCTTTGGGCCTGAGGTCTGGCTCAGTGTGACCCTGTGCAAGCCACTTCTCAGAGCCTCATTCTTTCTGTCCAAACGGCGAGGGTTTGCACTGTGGATTCCAAAGGGCATAATGGCTCCGATCTCTTGGAAGCTGGGGAAGGGGAGGGATAGGGACCCAGCTCCTGGGACAGGGTAATGAGGCCCCTGGAGGTTGGAGACAAATGTGGCATCCTCTGGGGGTGAGGGGGTGGGGGTGGAGGCCAATAGGGAGGATGTGGGATGCCTGAAATGGCAGGTTGTGGGAGGCAGTGAGGATATGACCCCGCAAGACTTATTACCACTTTCACTTCCAGAGCCCAGCATTGAAGAACCAGGGCAAGCTGAACACCAGGCCTGGAAAGGTAGGGAGGTGGGGGCAAGTGTGCAGCACGAGGTGGGGGCCTGGGGACAGAGCCTGAGGACCTCCTTTGTGCCTTCTCTAGATAGTCCTCTTCTCGGAGCCCGGCTGCCAAGGCAGTAGCAGGGAGGTTTGGGATGACATTGCTGATGCCTCTGGCTGGGCCCGCGTGGCCTCCGTAAGGGTGGTGCGAGGCTGGTGAGTTCGGAGTACCCGGGGATGGGGGGATAGAGGGGGCTGCCTGTGAACCTGGGGCAGTTAAAAGTGCCCAGGCCAACCTGGCAGAAACCCCATTTCCCAGAGACCCTGCCTTTTGGGTGTATCCTCTTCCACCCAGTGACCCAGGGTTTCTGTGCCCACAGCTGGGCGATCTATGAAGAGGTGGAGTTCCAGGGCCAGAAGCTGGTCCTGCCTGAAGGAGACGTGGAACTCAGAGCCTCAGGGCCAGGGTGGAGTACCCAAGGCATCGGCTCCCTGAGGAGGGTTGTCCGGGTGAGTGGGCTGGGGCGGGGCTGGGGGTGGTTGTTGCCCTGTATACCCTGGGCCCTGGGCCTTGAGAAGGGAGACAGCCTCAGGCACCTAGAGCTGGAATCTGGGAGAGATCATACGGGGTAAGGGGCAAAAGGGGGTTTATTAGGAACTAACTTATAGATTCCTGACCTTGGAGCCAACAGTGTTCTGGGGAGTGCTCAGCCTGGCTTGGGGAGGCAGGGGCCAGGCAGAGGCCAAGCCCCAGCTTGGGAAAGCTGCCCGGGGACGTTTGAGCTGGCACCAGAGAAAGGTTCAGTTAGAACAGCAGAAACAGTTGGGGGTGGATATGGGTGCTTGCCCACCCCCAGGGCCCAGGCGCTTAGGCCCACAGTCAGACCCAAGGTACCTCTGACATTTGTTCATTCATTAGCTCAAGGATGCTCGTTAATGTCTGCCGTGAGCCAGCCACCACACCAGGCAATGGGGTGTGAGATGGGGGAGGCCTGCTCTCTGCCCTGCAGGACTCAGGGTCAAGCTAGGGTAGCAGGGTGGGGGTTGCAGCAGGAAAGCCATATAATCAGATCAGAGATTTATAAACACCCCTCTGGCTGCCAGGAGGAGAAAAGACTGGATGGGAATCCTCTGAATTTGAGGGAGGGATATGTGGTTTGAAAAGGCATAGTCAATATTATGGTTTCATATCTGTAAAGTGGGGAAAAAAACCAGCATCGTTTTCATAACACCAATTTACAAGCTACCGAAATTAAGCTTGACAAAACCATCTTGGCCACGAAGGAGAAACAGAAGAGAAAGCAGGGCCAATCAGACATTTTGTTTGATGTTTAAAGAAAGGAGGAATAACTCCAAGTCCAGAGCTGTTGCAATCTTCCTGGTAAGAGAGTTTGAGAGGTGATGAGTGTTAATTAGGCCAGTGGCCCAGGCGTGTAAAGGAGGGGACAGTTTTCAAAGCCTCTCCAGAAACACACAAATGTTTATGGACAGTTTACTGTGAGCTTCTCACAATAAATTCATCTTCGAGTGGGAGGTTACGAGGTTCAAGAGAAAAACAAGGGCTTTGAAGTCAGGTGGACCTGGATTCATTTGATTCATGCAGCATTGATTGGGTACCTAGTGTGTTTCAGGCACATGGGAGGTGCTGATTTGCAACAGTGAACTAAACTGCTCTGTTCTTTGCCCTGCTACTGACAGACTGCGTGCCCTTGGGAAGGCCACTTAACTTCACTGAGCCTCACTTTCCTAGTCTGCGAATGAAGTAATAACTCCCACGGGGAGGACTGAGATGGGATGGGACATGCCCTTAGCACCATGCCTTACACTCAGTAGATGCTTCATAAGCATCTGATTGATGAAGGAGTGAGTGAAAATTGTCCTGGTGAGGAAGAACCACCCAGCATGTAGAGGACCTGCTGTCGCCTGGAATGAGGTGCAGGTGGAACCAGCCTGGGTAGGGTCAGGAGTGGTACATAAAGGAAGGGTCAAAGTGAGACTTCAGGAAGCAGTCCATCCCCCCCAGCCCTCTACCAGGCTGAAAGTTAGGCTGCCCAGAGACAAGGAGAAAGGCATGGCACCTGTTGGGAACTTTCGTCTCATGTCCCAAAGGTCCAGCGTGGGACCAGCAAGGACTTTGGTCTCCACTTGTCTGGCTGACCTTGAGAAAACACCCCAGTCATTCTCCCGGCTTCTGGGCAGACAGCCACGAAGGTTTCCTAGAAGCTCCCCTAGAGGCCTGGCTGGATAGACGGGGAAGCAGGTGAGGGCAGGAGGTAGTATCTGAGGGGTGCTGTTTTACATTTCATTTTCCCACCCCTCTCCCACAGGACTACATTACCCCAGAGATCAGACTGTACTCTGAGGAGGGTCTCAAGGGGGAGCAAGTGAAGCTAACCGAGGCCTTGAAGGACCCCCAGAGCCTGGAGAGGCCCCTGCAGGTGGCATCTGCCACTGTCTCTGCAGGACTGTGAGTCTGGGCTGTTCTGGAACCCCTTCATTTAATATGCACTGTGCTGGTAACACAGAAGGTCACAGTTCCTGCCCTCAAGAAGTCCTCAGTCTACTGGTGGGGACAGGCAAGTAAGCAGACAGTGGCAATCAAGAGTTCCTGAATGGGGCAGCCCAGAGCTGTGGGAGCACACAGCACCAAACCAGCCTGAGGTCAGAGAAGCCTTCCTGCAGGAGGAGACACCTCAGCTGGGATGAGTTTGTCCCAGAAGAATCTAAGCTCCTTGACGGCAGGGATTTTGTATGTTTTATTCACTACTGTATCACTGATGCCTGAAGCAGGGCCTGGCACAGGGTAGATGCCCCTAAATATTTGTTAATTGAATGAATGGGGGAAAGAGTATATCTAGCAGGGGAACAACACCCCCAAAGGCCCAGAGGTGAGAGATCTTAAGCTTCGAAAGTTCAGTCCGGCCAGAGAAAACAGCAAGTGGGGAAATGTGAGACCCAGGAGGAAGGTCTGATGGGCCTCTACTGCAGCTGGGCTGTATTGTGAGCTAACTGGGAGTTACTGGGGGGTGTTCAAGCAGGTATGTGTGCTATTAGAAAGAACTCTCCAGCTGCTGTGTGAAATTAGAGAGGGCCAGGCCAGAGGAAGGGAGACTGATAGAGTGGCTACTGCAAAAGATTATGGGTACCTGAAATGTTCTCCAGAATCCCCTTGACAGGGGCCTCTCCCCCAAAACACCCTCTCCTCTAAAACTTCCCTTCCATCTACCAATCTGTGTCCCTGGGCATCTGGATACAGCTGCCTCTCTGCCTCCCCCCAGGTGGCTGCTGTACCCCAAACCTTTCTTTGAAGACACTCCCTGCATCCTGGAGCCTGGAGAGTACCCCACCTCAGAGCCCTGGGGTACATCGAACTCCAGTGTGGGCTCCCTGAAGCCCATGAGATTGGTAAGGAGTAGGTGGTCCCAAGTAGCCTTGTCCTAGAATCTGGAGCAAGAGGCAGGGCCTGGGAACTCTTACTTGGAATGGAGTTTAAGGAAAGGGAGGATTAGTCCAAGAGATGGGGGAGAGGGAGGACATGGGGTCAGCCAGTTTTAGGGGCCTCAGAATCAAGTAAATCTTAGATCACCAGCCCCAGCTGTCTTCCCCAACCTCTGGGCCGGTGTCTCAGCTCTGTCTCCTTTGTAGGGCTGCCCAAGAGTGGAGAAGCCAGGGGAACCCAAGGTAAGTCTGGGCTTCTGGGTCAAAGAGGGCCTTTGGGTGTGGGGGGTGGGGTGTATGTGTGTGGCTACGGTGGCCTGAACTGGAAGATGGGAGATGAGGGCCCTGGGGGCCAGAAGCTGGGTCTGGGATAGTGGAACCTGATGGGCTCACTGGGAACTGGCTTTTGATGTATAAGGACCTGGTCAGAGGTCAGAGAAGTGACAGGCGTTACATAAGGGCATGGGGCTCAGTGAAGGAGTGGGAGAGCTTAGCTCTGGGCTGATGCTGGGCAGAGCCATCCTGGGCTGGCTGGGTTTGGGTCCAGATCACTCCCCATCAACCCCACCACCCCCTTCCCCTAGGCTGTAGTATATGAGGCCCCAGATTTTCAGGGCCGGAGTTGGGAAGTGAGCGGAGACATCTACAACCTTCAGCAGCCAGAGGACAGCCACAGCCCCCATCTGGCCTCCGTGGGGTCCCTGCGAGTTCTTGGGGGCTGGTAAGGACTCAGAACCCTTCCTTCTACCTTATCCTCCTCACTGGCCTCTACCCTGGGGGTGGGGGTGATCTGGCTGCCTAGGGGTGCCGGGAGCTAGCTGCCTTATACATCTAGGGGCCTCCTGTGACTGAGCCTGTTTGTTCCCTTCTGTCTTCCCCCAGCTGGGTGGGCTATGAGAAGGAGGGCTTCCGGGGCCACCAGTATCTGCTGGAGGAGGGAGAATATGCTGACTGGTCACACTGGGGAGGCTATGATGAGGCGCTGACCTCCCTGCGGATCATCCGGACGGTAGGCAAGGGCAATTGGGCCTCTGGCCTCAGCCATACCTTCCCCGGTACAATTTGTTGAGGGAAGAATTTGTGCTCCACCTCCCTGTTCACCTGAGCACCTGAAAGTGTTCCCTGAGGTCTGGCCTCTATTCCTCCTGCTGCTCTTCCCCAGGCCACACCGATCCCCTCACCCCAAAGTCCCTTGGTGGGCTGCCTCCCAGGGGCCTGGTCAGTCCCAGGGGTTTCCGTCGGTAGGCGGGAAAGACCTGACTATTCTTGGGGCCCAGGACTTCGCGGACCCGGCCGTGGTGCTGTTTGAGGCCATGGACTTCGAGGGGCACGGCGTAGAGGTGAGCGAGCCATTGCCTGACGTGGAGCTGGCGCGACACGGACCCCACACGCAGGCTATCCACGTGCTCAGCGGAGTGTGAGTGACCTCCGGAGCCTGCGGGCTGGGGGCGGTTCCAGGATTGGTGCCGGCTTCACCCGCTGACTCGCGTCCCACCCTTCCACAGGTGGGTGGCCTATCAGGAGGTGGGCTTCTCCGGGGAACAGTATGTGCTGGAGAAGGGCGTGTACCGCAACTGCTACGACTGGGGTGCGGGCAACAGCGCCCTCGCCTCGCTGCAGCCGATCCTGCAGGTGGGTGCCCGCCGCAGGGAGCGGGGGCCTCCGGAAGAGTGGGGCTTGGATTCTGAGATGCGCCCACTGCAGAGGAGCGGGACTGGAAGGACCCAGTCCCGAGCTCGTGGGGGCGGGGCCTCTGGAAGGGGCGGAGCTAATACGGATCGGAGTTCTGGGAGAGTTACGGTTAGGTTCCCGAATATTGAGACAAACCAGAACTGAGGCTAGCGGCTGGTGCACTCCTTAAGTCTCGAAACTTTGGTCTCTTCCTTCAGGTCGGAGAGCACAATCTACACTTTGTCTCGAAGGTAAGGAGCTGGTGGGAGCCTATGTCTCTCTCCTCTTCCCTCATTTCCAATCTCTTCCCCATTCTCTCTGCCTCACTCCATCGCCCTCCTTTACTCTCATCTATTCCCGTCTCTACCCCCAGATTCAGCTTTTCTCTGGTCCCGACTTCCTGGGAGATCACATCTCATTCGAGGATGACCAGACCTCTCTGCCCGCCTCCTTCCAGCCCCAGTCCTGCCGTGTCCACGGCGGCAGGTGAGGACGTGGGGGAGGGAAGGCTCGAGGTGCGGGAAGCAGGACACACTTGTCCATCTGAAGCGCTTAACTCAGCTTGGAAATCGGGGCTGCAGGAAGAGGGCCCTTCTTTCAAATGATTTTCTTACTCAGACTTCCCTGAAATTAGCTATTCTGTCCCGACTCATTCAATCTTAAACAAAGTAAAATAAAATTTTAATGGAAAATGTAAAACTTGTAGATAGTATAGTATAAAGAATCCCATATCTCTTATAAGAAAGGATACACACATGCACATACACACACACACACACACACACACACACAGAGCCACAAGCTATTATCACAGCTAATAAAATTCACAATAACTTATTAATATTACCTAATACCCAGCCCATGTTCAAATTTCTCCAGTTTTCTCAGAAAATGCCTTTGTAAAATTGGTTTGTTTTTCTCAGGATTCAAACAAGGTTCGCACAGTGTATTTGGTCTCTAATGTATAACAAGCCTCCCCGGCCCCATCCCACCCCCAAACTGTTTGAGAAACCCAATAGTTTGCCCTGTGAGTTTCCCATCTTTTGTCGTTGGCTCTTGCTTCCTGGCGGTGTCTTTTAACTTGTTTTTCTGTGCCCCATACTTCCTGTAAACTGGTTGTTAGATCTAGAGACTTGATGAGATTGAGGTTGTTTTGTTTTGTTGGCAAGACACTGTAGGTGGTGCTGTGTACTTCCCACTGTATCACATCACGGAGGCCTGTGTCTGCTTGCCCCACCTTGAATGATAGATATTAAGATTCCCTACATCATAAGATTTCCCATTTAATGGTTTTAGTATCCATTGATGATAATTGCCTAGATCCATTACTTCTTTAGACATTACAAAATGATGATTTCCAAATTTTTTGTTATTCTTTCTAATATATTAGCAGGACTACTTCTACAAAGAAGAATTTCCCTTTTCAACTATTTGTTTACCTGTAATAGTTTATACAAAAAAAAGCAGTTTGATCTTTCTCAAGGATCAATGTTTGCCTCTTTCTCTTAAACGATATTCAGAATAATTTCTGAATTGGTGCTCTAGCAACCTCCAAAGCTGACCAATGAAGATTTGTTTAAATTATTGTTATGAACTCATGGATTCTTATGTATTTGAAATGCTTCAGTCCATTGGAGTCACTCTTCGTTTGTGTGCTCCAATTGCTTCATCTTTGGCAAATGGGAGGCCCTTCAAATTACCTCCTGGGTCCTTTTGATATGGTCCCAAAAGATTTTTTTTATGTATATATGTATAAAACTTCCTTGTTTTTCTGGTAAAATAAGATGCTCCAGGATAATTTTGCATTTTTTTGGTCCATTCTTGAAATCAGCCATTTCTCAATGAACTGTAGTTCATTTTAGTCAAAATGGTATTTAGAGACCAAAATCTGCATGCTAAGTGTTTCAAAATTATAATACTAATATTACTACTATCAGTAAAAACCAGTGAATGCTGTTTGAATTTTCTCCGTGGTTCTTTTTGTCCTCAGGACATTCACCTACATCCCATTTGGCATTTATAGTTCAAAATATTATGTTATTAAGACATTTAAAAGAATGTGCTATTTTGCTGTGTGGTTATGCCACCAACCTGATATACAGTTAGGTTCATTAATTTAATTTAATTTATTTCAATTTTTAGGGATCTTTTTCATTTTTATTTAATTCTGTTTTTTAATTACATATTTACAATGTAGTCAGCTTGGGCTGCTATAACAAAATACCATGCACTGGGTGGCTTGAACAACAGGAATTTATTTTCTCACAGTTCTGGAGGCTGGAAAGTCTAAGATCAAGGTGCTGGCCGATTCAGCTCCCTGGTGAGGGCCCTCTTCCTGGCTGGCAGATGGCTGCCTTCTTGCTGTGACCCCACATGGTGGAGAGAGAGCTCCTGTCTCTTCTTACAAGGACACTAATCCCATCAGGGGTGTCTACCCTCATGACCTTATCTAAATCTAATTACCTCCCAAAGGCCATTATTTGAGGTTAAGGTTTCAGTATATAAATTTTGCGGAGACACAAAATTCAGTTCTTAGCAGTTCCAAAGTCAAGTTTTATAAACTTTAGCTTCTATCTCTGCCCTTTTTCTTTCCCTCTCCTTATTGGTTATTATTATTATTATTACTTTTCTTTCTTTCTTTTTTTAGCTGAGCCATCCTGCCACTTGTTGGCTGCTCAGCTCAGGCCGGGCATCAAACCGCTGTTGCTCAGAGCTCGCACTCTTGAGTGAGCTCTTAATCAACTGAGCCACTCAGCCGGCCCTATTATTATTTTTTTTTAGTGTTTAGTTTATCCATTTTTTTTTGAAGATATAAGCCAATATACACTCATATAAATTTACATATAACTATAGGAACCAGATATATTTTGTTTCCCTCCTCCCTCATTTTCTTTCACAAAAAGAGCATACTACAACTTGGTGAATATACCAAAGACCACTGGACCATTGTACACTTTAAAAGAATGAATTTTATGGTATGTGAATTATATCTCAATTTTTAAAAAAGGAACATACTATAAACACTATGATACACCTTGGTTTTGTTTTTTACTTAACAATTTGTGGAGATCACTTTATATCTCTTTAAAAGCTCCTCGTCATTCCTTTTTACTGTTATATTATACTCCAGATTTTTAGTGTATTCAACCAGTTGCATACTGATGGACATTTGAACTGTTTCCACTCTGCCATTGCAAACAGTGCTATCATGAATGGCCTTGTGCATGTGTCATTTCATGTTTTTGAAGGGGTTCCTTGGGATGGATTCCAAGAAATAGGATTGCTGAGTAATTGTGCGTAGAGTTTTGCTTGTTATCACCAAATTTTCCTCAATCAGGGCAGTATGATTTCAGTCAGTTCTTTCTTAAGTCTGACTTCAGTCCCTGTTGCTGCAGTGCCTGTTCGTCCTTGACCTGCCCTGGACTGGGGGTCACGATCAAGTGTGCATCCACTTTGTTGTATCTGAGGGGTCCTGGGCAGGCGGAGGACAGGGCAGGCTCAAATATCCACCCACTCACACCCCCCCCCACTCTTTCCCTTCCCCAGCTGGATCCTGTTTGATGAGAAGAACTTTGAGGGTGACCAGCACATTCTCTCTGAAGGCGAGTTCCCCACTCTCACGGCCATGGGCTGCCTAGCCTCCACAGTCCTGGGCTCTCTCCGGAAGATACCCCTGGTGAGTGCACCTGTCCAGTTCCAGGCAACCCCCGAGGCAGGTGGTGCAGCTGGGAGCATCCTGAGCCTGTTCTCACTGCTGAGTGGGCTGTTGGGGCTTGAATCTAGCCTTTCTCAGAACCACCCAAGGTCCCCCTGACCCCAGGACTTCAAAGCCAGTTCAACTTACTAGAAGTTTGTTGAGCACCTCCTAGGATAGGTCCTGGGGATACTGAAATAAATCAGACCCAGCCCCACCTTCAAGGAACCCATGGTTACATTGACATAAAGACTACAGTGCAGAGTGGTGTGTCCAGATACAGAAGTGATACAGGGGCAGGAGGAACTAGCACTTGGGTTGGGCTGGAAACAGGGCCTGGACTGCTGAGGCGGTGGTTCTGTGCAGAGAGGAATGACATAGAAAGATGGCTCTGCTCTCGTGTGGAGGACGGATGGGTGGGGGCAAGGCAAGGGGTCGCTGCTATAGTAAGCCAGAATAAATCGTGATGTCCTGGACCAGGGAAGAGAGGGAGAGAAGTGACATGGGCCATATTAAAGAGCAAATGTCTGTAGAACTTGGTGACTGGCTAGGTGGGCCAGCAGCAGCAGTATGAACAGACGGCTTACTTTTACTGAACACACACCATGCTCCAGGCAAATTTTTTTTTTTTTCATTTTACTGGGGAACAGTGTGTTTCTCCAGGACCCGTCAGCTCCAAGTCAAGTAGTTGTTTCAATCTAGTTGTGGAGGGTGCAACTCAGTGGCCCATGTGGGAATCGAACCGGCAATTTTGGTATTATGAGCACAGCGCTCTAACCAACTGAGCTAACCGGCCACCCCCAGGCAGTATTTTTTTTTTTTTAGCTGAGCCATCCTGCCACCTGTTGGCAGCTCAGCGGCTGCCAGCTCGGGCTGGACTCGAACCGCTGTTGCTCAGAGCTCAAACTCTTGAGCTAGCTCTTAACCAACTGAGCCACTCAGCCGGCCCCCCAGGCAGTATTATAAGGCCTCCTATACTAAGGCATTTAATTCTCACCACAACCCTATACGGTTTGTTACTGTTACTATCTCCCTTTTCCAGATGTGAAAACTGAGGCACAGAGAGGTCATGTGCCTTGCTCCAGGTCACACAGCTGGTAAACAGGCAGAGCCAGGTTCTCCCTGAGGCAGCCCAGCTCCTGAGTCCAAGCTCCTTACAACTACACACTGGCCTCTGAAGGCAGATAGACCTGGCTCTGAAACCCGGCTTTAGGGCCTTGAGCAAGTGGTTTAATCTTCTCCAGCCTCAGTTTCCCCTCTGCTAAGCAGAGATAATGATAGCACCTACCTCAAAGGGTTGTTGAGAGATTATAAGGTCAGGTAAAGCGCTTAGCACAGAATCTGGCATGTAGTAAGCCCTGAATATATGAGAACTGCTATAATTACCAGTATTATTAGTATGTTATTCTTAGTATTAATATTATTCTTAGAAGTGCCATTTATTGGGGAGGAGGTTTGAGGGGCAAGGGGAGGCCCAGTCTAGCACATTCTGTATCTGAGAATCTGGGGGACACCCAGCTGGCGTGTCTAGGAGTCAGGAGGAAAGAGGGCCTGAAATCCCCATCTGGGAGTCAGGGGGCTGAGAGTCTGGAGCGCAGGCTCTTGTAGCCTCACCCCTTCTCCATGCTCCCCTGCCCCCAGCACTTTTCAGAGCCCTCCATTTTTCTGTATGGACTGGAGTGCTTTGAGGGGAAGGAGATTGAGCTCAACAGGGAGGTGCGGAGCCTGCAAGCCGAGGGCTTCAATAACCACGTGCTGTCTGTGCGGATCCAGGGGGGCATGTGAGTGGATTGTGGGGCGCACAGGATTAGGGGCTGCTAGTGAGTTAGTGCTGGGTCCCTGGCCCCTTCCCCCTCCCAACTTCTCCTCTCCCCTCCCAGCCAAGAGGGAGGGAGAAGTAAGACTGAGGAGGGTCATTAACTCTTAGCTTGGACCCTGGGGGGGGGCGGGGGGGGAGCTGCTGTCCAGGACCCTCCTCTGCCCTGCAAACCTCAAATCCACTTTCCAGCCTCCTTCTCCCCCGCTGGGACCCTAACCCCAGGCAGAGGAGTCCCAGCAAGAGAAAAAAGGAGGTGGAGAATGTTCTGACATCTGTGCCTCCTTCTCCCCCGTGTCTGTCTATCTGTCTTCTCTGTGTCTCTGGCACTTGCTGGACCCAGCTGGGTACTGTGTGAGCACAGCGACTTCCGGGGCCGCCAGTGGCTGGTGGGCAGCTGTGAGATCACCAACTGGCTGACCTACAGTGGGACCCAGAGGGTGGGCTCCCTCTATCCCATCAAGCAGGTGGGTAGCATGTCGGATGGAGCGTGTCTGTGTGGGCCTATCTGGGTATGGATGTGTGTGTTTCCCATGTTTCCCAAACTCAATGCTTGTGTGCTTTTGTCACGATTTTTGCCACATCATCATTCCTCTTAACCATTATTTACTTAATATTTTTCTCTAATAAATCAACTCACCTTTTTTTTTTTTTTACTCTAGCCTTATCCTAAGGAATAATATTCATAAAATCATGGGTTTGATGTGGATGTATGATTTTTCCTTACTATAGTAATTATATTACTATATATATTACTATAAGACAATATAGTAATTAAATAATAATTATAAAATAATATATACATTACCATTAAAGTTTTAACAATAAGTTTATCCATGTAAGGCTGAAAATTATCTCATGTACCTCCCAGCAGTAGTAAACACACCTCACTTTGGGAAACGCTGTGTCTACATGTCTGGATATGTGTCTCATTTCTGTACATGCGCGTTAATGTGGAGGCACAGCCGTGTGTGGGTGTGCGTGCGTGCACATGTGCCCGTCTGAGGCTATTTCTGTGTCTGATATCATTTGTGTCCATGTGTCTGTGTGCTTTGGAGGTGACCTGTGGTTGTGTGTGTGTGTGTGTGTGTGTGTGTGTGTGTGTGTGTGTGTACACATCTGTGAGAGTGTGTTTATGACTACATGTGCCTGTGTTTGTGACACTGTTGAGAGTGTCACAGTGTGAGGGCCCTATATTGTGTGGCCCCTATATTCACAGACTCTTATAACATTAGTACTAGAAGAAATCTTGGAGATTATCTCCAACCCCCACATTTTACAGATGGGGAAATAAAAGGCCCAGAGAAGTGAACAAGGATTTGCTCTGCAATCTTGGGCAAGTACTGTAGCTCATGGACCTCAGCTTCCTCATCTTTAAAATGGGGTTATACACATGATGGAGTTGTTTGGGGGACTGAAGATAAATAGTGTATGTAAAGCCCTTAGAACAGTGCTTGAGTGGGTCAGCACTCCACAGATGTTAGCTGTGATTCTTATTACTATTACTATCATCACCAGTATCTGAGGCCCCCAACTGATTTGTGTCAGAGCCTGGTCTGATGTCTGACCATGCATGGTACCTCTTCAGCATGAGTGTGAGTGTGTGTGTGTGTGTGTGTGTGTGTGTGTGTGTGTGTGTGTGTGCGCGCGCATGTCTGTGTCCCTACATGCATCCATCTCTTTAGCAAGCATAAGTGCCTGGTGTGGGGTAAGCTGGGGGGACCCGTGCATTGGTTAGGATGTGTGTTTGCATGGCTGTGAGTAGTCGTGTATTGTATCTGCTGCAAACTTCTGTGCAACCATGTGGACCTTGAGTGCATCTGCTAGTGTGTCCCTCTACACATGTCTGTGGGTATCTATGGACATGGAACTGTGTGGGTTTGGACATGTGCTACGGATGTGCCCTTGGTATTTGTGTGGGAAATAAGGGATGACTTAAAGCAGGGCTAAGGAAGGTTTAGGGGCAGGAAGGAGGGCTCAGGAGCTTGGGATACTGGAGGGTGTTGGGGGCCCAGGGAGCCCTGACTCTCAGCTTCCCCCATTCACCAGCGCCGGGCTTATTTCCGCCTCTGGAATGCGGCACTGGGGGGATTCCTGGCAGTGCCTGAGCGCGTGGAGGACATGAAGGCGGGCCGTGTGGTGGTCTCCGAGCCCAGACCTGGAGGCAGCTGCATCTGGTACTACGAAGATGGGCTGCTGAAGAACCAGGTACAGGTTTAGGGACTGGGACAGGGGCATCAGGGACCCAGGCACACACAGGCAACCTCAGGAAGTCCCAGCTCAGTCAGAAACAGGACCCACCCCTGGGCCAGAGAGACAGAGAGACACACACAGACACCAGAACACTGGGGAGGTGGAGACTGCACGCTGTGCACCCCTGGGTAATTCAGGCTCTTCTCTGAGCCTCAGTCTCCCATCTGCAAAACAAGAGCATTGAATCAAATGCTTCTTTTTTTTTTTTTTTTTTTTTTTTTTTTTTTTTTTTTTTTAGCTGAGCCATCCTGCCACCTGTTGGCAGCTCAGCGGCTGCTCAGCTCGGGCCGGGACTTGAACCGCTGTTGCTAAGAGCTCAAACTCTTGAGTGAGCTCTTAACCAACTGAGCCACTCAGCCGGTGAATCAAATGCTTCTAAGGGACTTCCCAGCTCTGTTATTCTGTGACAGAACTTGGATCTGATTAATAATGATAGATTCACTCCACAAACATTTCCTGAGCACCTACTATGTGCCAGGCCCTGTTCTAGGTGCTGGGGATACAGTGGTGAAGAAGACAAACGACTTCTGCCATCCTGAAGCTTATATCCTAGTGGGGAGAGGCAGAAACAACTTAAATGAGTAAAATATCTTAGGACCTTAGATGATAAAAAGTGCAATAGGTGAGGGGAGCCCTTTCTGAGACGGTGACATTTGAGGGAGGCAGCCATGCAGATGTCTGAGGGAAGAGTGTACTAAGCAGAGGGAATAGCAAGTGTAAAGGCCCTGAGGTGGGAACATGTCCGGCATTTTCCGGGACTAGAATGGCTGGAGTGAAGTGAATGAGGGAAGAAGTAGCAGGAGATGAGATCAGAAAGGTTATGGGGGTGTAGGTCTTTCTAGGCTATTAAAGGGGGTTTGCCTTTTACTTAGAATGAGAGGGAACACTGGCATTGTGCCAGATGCTGCATTAAGCCTTTCACATTATATTACCTCATATAATCCTTAGAGGGCACTATGGGCAGGTCCTATTTTACTCTCCATTTTAGAGGTGAGGAAAGCAGAGCACAGAGAAGTTAAGTAACTGGCTGAAGGTCACATTGGCAATAAGTGTGCTGAAGCTTATCTGATGCTAAAGTCAGTCATGGAAGGCTTCCTGGAGGGGCTAATATTTTTCAACCCTTTCATGGTTTCTCACATTGAACCCTTACCATAACCAGCACTTGGGGATTCCCATCCCCAGGAAAACCAAAGCTCTGAATTAAGAGATTTGCCCAGAGTCACAGTCCATAAGAGTCAGGATTCAGGGTGTGTTGGATTTGGTGGAGTCCCTGTAGGGTGGGGAGGAATAGTACTTGACGAAATCTTGGGGCCTCAGGTGGCCCACACCATGAGCCTGCAGGTGATTGGGCCCCCCAGCTCAGGCTCCAAGGTGGTGTTATGGGCTGAGAGCCGCCTGCCCCGCCAGACGTGGAGCATCAATGAATCGGGCCACATCTGCAGCCAGATGTTCGAAGGCCGGATCCTAGATGTGAAGGGTAAGGCAGGGGGGTGTGTGGGAAAAGCAGCCTGTGGGGGCTGAGGGTGGTGGAGTCCCCAGCTCTCTTTGACCATCTCCCCATCTCTTACCCGCTTCCCCAGGTGGCCGGGGCTATGACCGGGACCATGTGGTGCTGTGGGAGCTGGCAGAGGACAGGCCATCCCAGATCTGGACTGTTCATGTGCTTTGATACTCACCCTCCCAGCCCTGGCGGCTTTCCCTAGGATGAAATGTTTGTATAGGTTTTGTTGTTGTAATATAAGTTGTTTTCTAATACGCTCCCAGTATCCTCATCTCTGTGCACCCTAATATTTAAGGGTGGGGTAGGAATTTATTCACCTGTCTTCTTCCTACTCTCAGGCTGGCTTCTTCCCTCCCTGCTCCAGGTCTGGAACTCAGAGGTAAGGCTTCCCTCTGCCACCAGAGGGAGCCTTGGGACCAGACTAACTGGTGAGTGAGGTGTTTTTGTTTTTACTGCGGTCACCTCAGATGATGTGTTCTGAGAGCCTGCTCTCATCTAGGTCTGGCACTAAACTGTGGGGGCACACACATGAACCAGGCCCCTTGATCAAGTTCCCCCGAGGGGACTCACAGGTTCAGCAGCGGAGGATTCCCATGAGTAGGGTGATCTCTCAGTGACAGGGTAAGGACAGAAGTGGAGGGATGCACAGCGGAAGGACCTAAACCATTTAGGGAATCGGCAGGCTGCTCAGCTGAGATGTGGAGTATGGGAAGGAGTCAGCCAGGCTAGAGGGTGGCAGAGGCCGCGTTCTAGCCATGCAGACAAGTCCGGGGGTGAAAGTTGGAAGTTCAGTGGGTTGGAGGCACAGTAGGCAGGGCAGGAGAGGTGAGTAGGGGAGCCACACCCTACGGGCCTTGCCTACCAAGGCTCGTCTCAATTTCCCTCGGCTCTGGTCTCAAGGCCTAAAGGTTTGGCCTCAGTCAAAGAAGCCAGAATAGGGGGTCTGTGTCCCTACCCCAGCTCAGAGAGGGCAGGACAGAGAAGAGCAGCAGCTCCTCCGTCCCCCAGTCTTAGCAGGCACTTCTCGGCCTCTTGGCCAGGGTCCTTAGGAAGAGGCAGAGATGGTCAAGGCCACTGTGGCCTTCTCTGGGGCTCCTTTCCCTCTCTACAGCCCCCAATACCATCATCCCAACCCAGGAGGGGTAGGAGGGGGTAGGAATGGTTAGAGCAGCTGTTTGTTCTATCTCCCTTCCCATAGGTAGATAGGGCAAAAGTGGACAGCTGCCTCTTTATTCTTCTCAGCCCTCCCCACTCCATGGTTGGAGACGTGAGGATGTCTGTGAGGCTGGGAATGCCTAGAGACTAGGAGGGGGCTTGTTCTCTCTGAATCTGTCACTCTGAAGATACCCAGATAGTTGGGGGGAGGGGGAAGGTTCTCTGAGTCTCTGCAACTGGGGCGATTTAGGGTCTAGGTGGGGGGAGGGTTCCACTGGGACCATCATTCCCAAACACTCAGGGACAGGTGAAGCAAATGAAACTAAAGGGGATGGCGAAGATGGTAGGTTCTGGGCCCTTCCCTGCAAGGTGATCCTAAGGGGAGGGGCCTCAGCATTTGGGCTTCGGGGCAGGGAAGCTGGGATGGGAGCTCCCTGACACCAGCTCCTGCTGATGAGGGCGTGGGAGGCTCTTGGCGCTACTGCAGACCTGGCTCTTGGGGCCCAGTGATGTCCAGTGACCACACACAGAACCCCATTCCAAGTACAGGACAACTTTATTGACCCCCAGCTGGGTGATGCTAGCCCCTCCACATCAGTACCTCCCTGTGTTGGCCGTTGTTCCCAAAGCACCGCCTGTCAATTCCCACAACTGGTGATTTCTGGCATCAACACTTTCCAAGGATTCCAGGGCTGGGGGTGGGGTAGGGAGGGTGGGGTTGGGCTTCTCTTGCTAGCGATGGTGGCAGCTGTCTCAGGGGACACAGGGCCAGGGCTGAGGCATGTCACTTCAGCTGAGGTGAAGGAGCTGGATGAGGGTGTTGGTCAAGAAGAGAAGGACACTGCCACCACCTAGGCAGCTGAGTGCTGGGGCCGCATTCTTGGTGGAGCTGGTGGAATTCTTGTTTACCAAGACCTCAGTTTGTACCTGCAAGAGAAGTAGAGCAAGCTCAGAGGACTTTTGAATCTCATGTTTGTTGTTTAGAGACACAGTTCCCCCCACCCCCATACAATAGTCCTCACTTCTCTGTCCCATGATCGTGACTTCTGATACCAGGTCCTGTGGAGACGATTGGCTGTTTCCTGCCTTGACACAGGCAGAGTCAGAGGCAGCCCCTGACCCACCTCCCGTAGAACATGTCTGTTACCTGCACCAGGCCACCAGCTCCTCCAGCATGTGGAAGATTGGGGAGCCTGTGGCCCCAGCCCTTGACCTTACTAGCTGGGCCGGGGGCCTAGCCTCTCTGAGCCTCAGTTTGCTCATCTTCTGAATAGGGAGAAGAATCCATCATAGTTGTTGCGGGCTGGTGAGAAGGCACTGGCAACGTGTGGGTGGGTGAATGAATAGATGGGGGGGAGGGGGTGATTTCATCCCCGAGGTAATGGCCAGATGGTGATCAAACTGTTCTCAATGCTTGATCAAACTGCAACTAAAACTGCTCATGATGGAGAAGTAAGCTGTTTCTAATGGTGCTCAAGCTTTTCTTGATGCTTGATCAAGCTGTTCTTGATCAAGAACATGATGGCTCCTGGTTCCTGTGCTGACTAGAGCCCTCTGGGCACATGCGATACTGCTGACATTGCCTCCTGGAATAGCAGTTGGTTTTGAGACTCCAGCTACGTCTGGAGTGGGAGATTTCTACCACCTCTACAGGCCCAAACACCCAGGCTTCTCTACCCCGGGGTTTCCCTGCCACCTCCAAAACTGGAGCAGGCTGCACTTGAACACTTCCTGGCAGCCTCCCAATAAGACCAGTTCCCCAGGTTCCCTGTGGGTCGATGCTACTCTCACTCAGAGCTGTCTTTCCAAGCCTCTTAACTCCCCATAATTCCACAGCGCCCCTTGGGTAGGGTGTGCTTGGCACCTGTAAATGCTCCTGAGCCTCAGGTACAGGCTTCTGTTCAGGGGCAGCCCTCAAGCAGTCTGACCCCAGCCAGAAGGGCTGGAAGGCTGGGAGCCAGGCACCCCGAGTCCTTGGTTCCCCTGCTGGAGCCTGTCTGCATGGGGTCCCATGGGAGAAGACTGGGTATCCAGGATCCTGCATTCCCTCCCTTCCCTGCCAGCAGGTCTGGGGAGTCCTAGGTGGGAGTGCCCGTGGCTGAGGGCTGCTCTTACCTGAGTCATAACCAGGAGGCTGATGATGAATAGGAGGAAGAGGAAGCTCTTCATCTTGGAAGGATCTTAGTAGCTGTCTTGACAGCAGCTTTTGGAGATGTGCACAGAGCTCTCTGCAGGCCCCTTTTGAACCAGGGAGGTGGGGCAGATGGAGAGGAAGGCGGGCCTATGAGGTGCTGCTTCCTTCTACAGATCTCTAGTTTGAGGCCCTAGGTTCTAAGGCCCTGGCTAATGATACATTCTGGATTGGGACCCAGCCAAATCCCAGGGAATGGGAGATAGGCAAACCAGCGGGCAGTAAATAGGGCACTGGCCTTAGAGTTATGCCTACTGGGGATTGAATCTTGGTTTAATCACCTGCAAACTCTGAGACCCTGGGCCAGGAACTGTACCCTCTCAGCCTTTAATAAAAGAATGGCCAGGGCCGGCCAAGTGGCGCGATGGCGCGATGGTTAAGAACTGGCTTGGGACGCCAGAGGGCCCCGGTTCGGATCCTGCATATGAGGGCCAGTGACACTGCCCTCTACAGCTAAGATGCTGAACAACAGCTCGAGCTGGGCTGCTGTGAGTCACGGCAATGGCGTAGGCTGCAGCCCCTGTGGCAGTGGGTTGCCATGGGCTACCGTATGTAGCCAGCAGCCAGCGTGAGCGGCCAGCAGCCGCAGTAAGCGGCCTTCCAGAAGCCGGGGACTGATCTGCCTCACCCGGGAAGAGCACAATGATGGTGCCAACTTGGGCCAGTGAAGCAACGTCCTCCACAACTAGACTGAAGAACAAAAGGACAGCAACTTGTCTGTTCCCCTTCCTCCAATTCCCCAGCACTGTTCCCATCCCCCCAATACCCCAATAAAAATCTTTAAAAAAAAAAAAAAGAAAAAAGAGTGGCCAGAAGATTCAATGTAATATAACTCATTTGAATGTGCCAACACATAGTAAATAGTTATAGAAAATGTTTTTTAAGAAGATTGGGGCTGAAAGCGAAAAGGTTGGGATAAATTTAGGTTTCAGGGTAAAGTTGTAGACGGCTCCTTGGGTTCAGGACACTGAGGTGTGGAGATGGGTGGGGCAGGATGGTAGATTTCTATGGAAACGAAAGGGCACCGCATTAGGAATCCGGAAACCTAGCTTCTGGGTAGGCCCATTTCCTTCAGGCCTCATATTTGTCATTTCAACTGAGAACACAAGTGAATTATTTCTGGAATTTCTTAAGACATAGCATTTTGTGATTTGGGTAAAGATGGGTTGTTTGTATCAATCTTGGATGGATGGGAGGAGTGCTAGTGGAGGGACGGTCAGGTGACTAAACTGCAGTGGAAGGCATTTGGGGTGGGGAATGGCTGTGAAGAGTCAGCAAGGGGTAGGGGCTGAGGTGAATCACAAAGCTGCTTGCATGGTGCTCTATTCTTCGTTCTTTGTACATTCTCTCACTTTATTGTCTCAGTGGGGCTCTGCATGTTTTATAACTATTCCCATTTTCTTGGTGAAGAAGCTGAGGTTTAGATGTTAAGTTTCTTTTCCAAGGTAATAAATGGGGGGACCAATCACACTGGAAGTTGAATCCAGGTCTGCCTGGAGCTACTGCCATGTATGTAACCTCCAAGGCTTCCCTAGAAGTCACTGATTAAATCTCAATCCTCTGTCCCTCTTCCTCCTGGAGGACCTGGGGTTGGCTCTGTAGCCCAGCTCCAGCCTCACCCTCTCTCCATTTCTTTCTTTTTTTTCTTTTTTTTTTTTTAAGGTTTTATTGGGGAATTGGGAGAGGGGAACAGCACTGGGGGGTCTGGGAAGGGGAACAGATAAGTTGCTGTAGTTTTGTTCTTCAGTCTAGTTGTGGAGAATGTTGCTTCATTGGCCCATGTTGGTATTATCATTGCGCTCTTCCTGGGTGAGGCAGTGGCTCACCGGCCATTGGACGGCCGCTCACGGCAGCTTATGGCATCTCACACCAGCTGCCGGATGCTCATGCTGGCTGCAGGCCCCACACGGTAGCTTATGGCAGCCCACTGCAGCAGGGGCTGCAGCCTACGCTGTCGCCTGCGACTCACGGCAGCCCAGCTCCAGGTTGAGCTGTTGTTCAGCATCTTAGCTGTAGAGGGCAGTGTCACTGGCCCTCATGTGCGATCTGTACCAGGGCCCTACGGCTCAGAGCTGGCGTCCCAAGCCAGCTCTATATGTTATTTTATTTTTTTAATAGCTGAGCCATCCTGCCACCTGTTGGCAGCTCAGCAGCGGCTCAGCTTGGGCAGGGACTTGAACCGCTGTTGCTCAGAGCTTGCACTCTTGAGAGAGCTCTTAACCAACTGAGCCACTTGGCCAGCCCTCAAGCCAGCTCTTAACCAATGCGCCACTCGGCCGGTCCACTCTCTATTTCTTAGTCTGTTTCGAATCTCATTTATACGCCAGTTAGTAAAAGGGAACCCTTTCACTTCCCTTCTATGGTTTTGGGCCTCCTGTTGCAAGCCTCAAAATAAAACCAAAACCAAAACCGAGTGGGCCCTTAGGGGCCTCCAGACCTGGCTAAAAAGAACTGAGTCCACTAGTAAGAGTAAACTAGGCAGTGCAGAGAGAGGGGACAGGAGTTTGGAAGCCCCTCGGGGTGAAGTGGGGAGGGAAACGGGAGGAGCTCTCAGCTACCCACCACTGCCCACCCCCATCAGCTCCTTCGCCAGACACCTCTCCGGACCCTAACTCAAGTCTCAGCTGCCTCTGGTACACCTGTGGGGGTGGGTGATTCTGGGGGTTCATGAGAATTGGGGAAGTAGCAGGTGCTGGAAGGTCACTGGCCCAGGAGACAGGAGGCCCATGTTGAAGTCCAAGATTGCTCTGCTGAAAATCAACTCTGTCATACTGAGCAATCTTTCCCCCTCTTATGAAGAGGCAGCTGGACAGGCTAAGCCCTGGGGCCAGCTGGGTTGTACCTTCTCCATGCTGGGGATGCATGTGAGGGTATTTACATGCCAGGCTCATATTTGTAAATCCCAGACATTTCATTTCTACATCTGAGCCTCTGCTATGGTGTGCGCCTGAGCTGCTAGTGGTGGGGGGGTCTTGTGGGTGCTGGAAGGGTTTTTAAGGGTCATCAGGACTTGGGGCATGGAAGGGCGTCTGGAATCTGTCAATACCTGAGAGAAGAGGGGTTTCACACCTTTTCCTCTCCTGCCCTCTGAGCAGTTTTGTTCTGTCTTGACAACATCTGGATGGACACAATTCTGGTCACAAAGCGTAAAGAGCCCAGAGAACTTAGTTTGTCTCTTGATTTCAGTGTCTTACTATTCACCTTCTCCAAACCTGAATTCTGAACCTTAACTAGCAAGATGGGAAATCTCAGTCCACACCCACTACAACTCTCTCCAGGGATCAAGCCAACCTCTTTAGTGTGACATTCAAGGCCCCAACCTTCCTCCCCAGCCTCATGTTTTGGGTTCTATCACACCCAGCTTGCATCTCCCCAGCTGCTCTAGGTTCTTTTACACCCCATGTGTTTTCTCTGTAAGGAAATCCCTTTCTAATTATTTTATCTGGCAAACTGCGATATGTTCTTCAAGACTTAGCTCAGAAACCACTTCCCCTGGTAAACTTTTCACTTCCTCCAGGGAAGTCCTTCAAAAAAAAAAAAAAAGTTCCTTAGTGTTCCAAGAGCCTCTTCTGTTGGCCTCTGCTCTAAAGATTGTCTGCTAAGAATATGGTCTGGTCCCTTGAAGGGATACTAGGTCTTGTCATCACTTCTATAACCCAGCATAGCACAGAACATGGCACAGAGTAGGGACAGCCGAACGAATGGGTGAATATAAGGCAACTACTCCCACCTCCAAGCCTTGCATACCTGTGTTTATCCAGTTAGTAAATACTTATTATGGGGCAACAGCAGACTAAGTATTGGAGAGTTACTAATGCAGAATAGGGGAAGAGAGGTGAGCCCGTCATTTGGGGGTGCTTTTCCCCTAAAAGTATATGCTGCTTTCAGAAGAGACAGCTGAGAATTAGCAGAGCTTTCTATAAAGAAAAATCTATAGTTCAAGACCTGCTAAGAAAGAAGGACCCTAATAAACTGCCTCATCTCCACCCCTGTCTTGGGTTGGGACCATAAAAGGTAACACCTGAGGGGTAAGAGTGAACAGGAAACAACAGCCCAGGGCTCACAAAAATGAAAGACAACATGACAAAAAACAAACACATGAGAAGCAGCAAATAGTAGAAAGTTACACAGAAGATCCAGATAATTGAATTAACAACCAAACTTTCACATAACAATGTTTAGCATATTTAAAGACATAAAAGACAAGACTGAGAACTGGAAATTGCAGTGAAGGTCCAAATGGAAATTTGTGAACTTAAAAATACAATAATAGAAATTAAGAATTCAGTGGATTGGTTTAATACCAGATTAGACACAAGTGAAGAGAGAATTAGTAACACGGAAGATAGCTCATAAGAAAATATTATAGCATAAATCTTGTATATTTATTAAGTGCCTGGTGTGTGCCAGGTACTGTTCTAGGCCCTGGGGACACAGAAGTGAACCAAAAGGCAGAGTTCCTGCTCTTATGGAGCTAACATTTGAATGGGGAAAGACAGACCAAAAAATAATGGTATTTTCAGATTTCAATAAATGGTATGAAGAAGTCAGGAGGGTAATGTGAGAAAAGAGAAATAGAAGAAGAATATATTCTAGGTAAGTGTTCGGAGAAGACTATTCAGGGGAAATATTTGTGTTGAGAGCTGCAGAACAAGAGGGACCTAGCTATGCAAAACACTTCAGATCACTTCCTGTTTCAATGTCACAGTGTTCTTTGATGACTGTCCCCAGGGCCTATCAGTCCCATATAGAGCAGGTGCTCAGTATGTACTTGAGCTCAATGATGGAATGGAGTACAGTAGGGATGGAGGGAGGGGAAGGGGGTTGCAGCGCGTATTACAGTGTGATCTGCCCTACATCTTTCATCCTCACTGACAGAGGTCTGTGATCCAATAGCACCATAGAGCTCTCCAAGGTAAATCTTCATCTATCCATTCATCTGTCCATTCATACATTTCAGGCAATTTCTCAATAACTACTGTGTGTCTGGAAAGATGAAGTTCATAGTCCAAGAGAGAAGGGAGATGCATACCGAAATAATCACAAAACTGAATAAGAAATGCTATAATGGCAGCAGGGCTATTAGAATGTAGAATGTAATTCTGCTTGAGGGAATGGGGGGGCGCTCTTCATGGAGGAGGGGACATTTGAGCTAGGTCTGAAGAATCAAGGGAGATTACCTAAGGGGAAAAGCCAAAGGAAGATGTTCCCACTGGAAGGAGAGGACTAAATATAGGAAAGAACATGATAGTTTCTGGAACACTGAGAAGGGTAGAGGGCAGGACTTATAATAGGAAGGCCCCAAATATGCTAAATAAGGGCTTGATCCAAGGCCATGGTGATGTGGGTGGAGAAGAGGAGG